ATGGCGATTCTAAATACTGGTATTGTATACTAATTAGTCAATTAACCATTAACTAACGAAAGTCTCTGTACTATTTCAATGTCCAGTAACATGTTCACCCACCTGAACTGCTCTGTATCTGTAGCTAGTTCTTGTTCCATCATGAGAAAAACCTGCACTAGTTCTGTGATGATGACAGGCCACAGAGAAGTTACCCCACGGGGGGACAGCCTTAGGAGCAATACACGGAAACATAAGAGCACTTCGGCCACCAAAGATGGAACAACTTGTCCTAGGCGGGTCACCTCAGCCAATCGTTCTTGAATGAGATAAAAGAGTTCATACATTTTTATGCATCAAACATTAAGAATGAATAGGTATTCATCAATATAATCAAGACTGTATGCATATGAAAACCTGTGACTTAACAACTTCTTCCTCTATGGAAAAATACCACAAATAAAACAGCATTATCAAAGTAAAATGATAGCATAATTCTTCCCGTTCACCATCTCAAAATTTACCCTTGTATGTTTCACTCACCTTGGATATCTGGGATGTGACGCATATATTGATCAGTCTCAGAGCAGAAAATAGTAAATGCCAACCTCTTGAGCAGACCAGCGCGTGTCTCATATTCTGACTCTTTACTTGAGAAGAGACTCAGTGAACCTCCCTGGGACATGGAGACTCGACCTAGATGTAAAAACATTACTACCATAAGTGGAATGGTTTGGCTCATCAATTACAGTACAGTACAGTACAGGGCACTACTGCTGCTATGTGAGACTTTTTCTGAGGGGTCTACTTTAAACAAAAAATTAACATCACTAAACATGAGCAGTAATTACTGCTATGTATTTCTAGTCCAAACTTAGACATGTAAAAATGAAATTCAAATAAAATACTGTACCTGTATATTCATTTGTCTGCATAGTTAAATACAAAACAATTGAAATAGACGTTTGCACAGTAAACATCAAAAGTTGTAGATTTATAGGGAGCTGTAGGTGAACCAGACTGTTACTGCAGCATGACACAATAGCTGCTGCTCAATGTGTCAAGCAAAGTGGGGGGAGGGGGGTCAGAATATTTGCTGAATTTTGGCCTTTACTCCCAGAAGACTTTAAGAGTTATATCTTGGCATGATGAATTCACAAACACACTATTGCAGCACAGTCACAATACAGTTTGTAGTTGTACAGTATACTAGTCACAACAGATAATCACAGGAGAGTTACTATGTGGCCCCATTACAGACCAGCTAACACCTATATAATGCTGTCAGCTGGGTCTGTATAATAATGTCCTTAGGAGCTCGTAACACTGCAATTGCACTACCAAATGTATAAGTTCTTTGGCATAATTATCATGAAAATTACTATATAAAAATGGAAGTCAGTATACAGTTCCAGCACAGTGCAGTTAACAATGAAGTAATGTTTAATTAGAATACACCACTAACAAATGTATGACTGTATAAAAACATCCTTACATGTCTGATAGTGCTATTGTATAAAAAATAAAAATAGATCTTTGATGCATTTATGAAGGGGATTAAAGTACTTTTAGTTTTGCTACCCACAAGACACTGCACATTAGGAGAGTTATGGTTGGAAGTGTCGCACATACAAAGCTGACTGTGCTGTAAAACTTCACTTAACCATAATAACAGTTTTGTTCCTTTCTCTTAAGCTACAAACTTACGACCTCCTAAAACTGCACCTTTGAGCAGTGACACCTTAAGAGATGTTTAAGTGTAATTCAAATAATCTCTAAGAAACTTCTTTTAACTAACAAGTTCAACATTAATCAACTATTTCCCGGTATTAATGGACAAATAATTCATCTATTACCATTACTCCAATCCAATTTTTGCATGGGGTAGATCAAAGGAGTACAAAAACTTTAAAGAAATGCAAAGAAAATAAACTATCAACTTACTCAACAATTCTTTAAATACACTCTTATCGTGTGTGCAGAGGTAGTCAACAATGGTGCGCCAGTATGTAAGAATGGAGGGCAGCATCATGAAAGCTTGTGTGTCCAGCAGAAGGTCCAGCACATCTCTACGCCAAGCTCGTACAGTATACTGATAACCAGAGAGTGATGAGAGGAGCTGGGAACATGCTGCAAAGGCTGCCATGTTATTACGCCTGAAAATCATATCAGATTGAATTAGTAACAATGGATGTGTGTTGCTGATGTGATGTTGTGTTGTACAGGTAAATCAGATTGAAATACTCTACAGTAATCTCTCACCAAGCACAAGGGTTAGGCACATTATAGAATCTTCCCATGGTTTGCAAAACTGTGGGTGGAAAGGGTTGGATCTAATAGGAAATAAAGGGTTTGGGTAAAAAAAATCCCTCAGACACACCTTAAGTCCTGTAATGTACAGCTCAAGGGGATCCAACATTTGTGCCCATACCAGTAAATGTTGAGGGTTCATTGTATTTTAAAACACTCTAGAATTATTTTACAAATAATATTGGGAACTAATAGTGACAAACAAATATCTAAATAAATAAAAACAAAATAAATTCAAGTTAACAGGGAAACATTATATACTGTACAGGGAAAACGCCTGGGCAACTCTCGTACAATACTGCAGTGCCCAGCCTTCGTTTCACTATGTATCTACCAAATACTGAGGCAGTCCTTATCTAAGTGTTTTTATATATGCATTTCTCAATGGCACTGAACTTTACATCTTAATTATAATTAATGAACCTATATCTAGTGACATTCTTAAATAAAACTTACGTATGATTGCGTAAGTATGGAACTACATGGGCCATGATGCTGGTGAGCAAAGGTACAACTTTATCCTTCTCCTCACTGACATATAAGACATCTAATAAAGGTGCTAGCAGCTCTGCGAGTACACTCAGGGCTGACACGCTGTAAGCCGATGGATCTAAAAATTAAAAATATTAATAATCTACTTTTTAAATTAATGTTTGTAGCTTGCATAAATGGTATTCACTAATGAAAAACAGTAATACAATTCATTATACATATGTATATACTGTACAGTATTTACACATATTCAACGTATAATACAGGCAGTCCTTATTATATGCCGCTTAGGTAATTCATCATTTAAAAAAAAATTAATAATCAAATTATAGGATATTTTTTTATCCTTTTCAGGTTAGTTTCTTCAATTATATGACAATTTCTGTAGTCCAATGTATGATAGTTCATTGTGCAATGTCTAATTCATTGATTGACCATTAAACCTTTTTACTGTATTAAATAATATTCAACTGAATTTAAATACAGACTGTTCTGTATTTTGTATGCAAATTATTTATAACATACTTACAAACTTAAAAGTAAAGCACATTATCCCAAAGCATTAAAAAATTCCAACAACTGTCATCAAACTTTTGTTAAAAGAAAAAACAATGCCAATTTAATATTATGATAATGAAATAAATATGTGCACAACAAGTTAGGACATCTCTCACCATTTATCCCTTCCTTCTTCTCCAAGTTCTCTGTCCTGACAGTCAAGTTTCGTCTTAACCAGGTGGTTGGTTCAAGACCTGATCCAGCAATGTTACTACAGGACTCAAGAAGTTTGCTTGACACTTCCTGTGAAAAGAAAAAGCACTATGAAAACAAACTGTACCCGTGTTAACTTCTACTCTTCTCCTACTTCTCAATGAAGTGGGTAGAAGTATCCCACACACATACTTTCTCACATCCTCAAATTGCTTAGTTAGTAAACAAAGTGAATACTGTACAAAAAAATCAATCATTATTTACCAAGATAAAACATAGTTGTAAGGAGGAAAACTCTGCTGAGTTGTCCAAAGCAACTTAAAATCCATAAACTCTAACCTGCAGTTCCTTGATGTCCTTCTTCTCTTGCAGTGGTGGAGCTCGCTGAACAAATTCATTGAGTGTTGCGAGCAAGACGAGTTGTGCTGGTGGAGACAAAGCTAATGTTCCCTCCTTAACCATGGTGAGCAATGACACCCAGCACTCACCCAGCTGGGAGCCGGGACACTGCTGAACATACACGTAGAATACCTGCAGCACACTTACTTCGAGGGGTAGAGTCTGTCAACAGATCAAATGTTAAATTAAATTTCACTTTGATATGAAAGAACTGAATAAAAAAAATATAGTTTATAAATAACTACCAGAAATAGCATAACTAATCAAATGAAATATTTTCCATATCTGTCAACCAAGAGTTTGGGACCAAGATGCTTCCTTAAAATGGATACAATCATGAACATGTGCCCAAAGATAAAAATAAGATGAAGCAAAAGAATGCTACAATTTTGTTTGAAATACAGATACCCTGTACATATACAGGTATCATAAATATCAATTAGCTACCCCTTCCAACATTAATGGACACTTTGTTCTATCCTGCAGGAGTGTTTCAAGAACTTTCATTAAAAGCATTCAGAAGGAAAGTACTGTACTTACTTCCTTTGCACCATCAACTATGGGAGGCTGTTTAACCACCTGCTTCACTGTTGCTACCAGAGTATGTAATGGCAGCACTCGCAGTAATGACATCATCTCTACCAGAGCCAGCTGTTGAGGACACCCACTCCACAGTAATCCACCAACTCCACTTTGTTTATTGTGAGTAGTGTTGTTGGTATTGTTACCTCTAATATTTAAGACTTCCATTGTAGCAATTCCAATTCCCTGTAAATATAACAACTACATTACTGAATGAAAACCAAATGAATTTCAAACATAGAAAAAACTCAATTGTGAGAAATGGACAAAAATCAACGAGTTAGCTGTTAAACATCAAGCAGAATATAAGCGGTGTCAAAAATTCAAAACATTAGTGGTGATAAAGTCCAGGAACTTATCAGTGGAAAATACAAGGGGAAATACAACACAGCACACTGGAGAAGAGGGAAGTCCTCATGGCTGGCAAACTTTACACAAAGCGAGAACAGTTACCAGGAAGTTTTTATTAAGTTTTTCACACAACCAGGTATTAAAACAAATTAACTTATTACTGTATTGAGTCTTGTGGTCTGTGGTGCACTAATTCCATTCTATTTTACTGAGAATGAAATATAGTAGATAAATGGAGAGATAGATTGAGGATAAAGTGAATGAAGAGAGAAATCAGAGTCCATGTGTGATCCATGTTAAGGCTCCGTATCTTTAACATGGATCACAGATAGAATGATCAACTCCTCACTAACAAGCAGTATGGATTTTTTATGGATAGAACCACTGGGCTCCAACTGCACTAAGTTCAAGATGCATAGACAGAGGTTCACACACAAGGAAGGAGGCAAGTTACAAGACATGAATTTCAAAAGAGCATTCAATAAGGTTCAGCATAGGTGTCTACTCAATAAGCTCAGCAGTTATGATATTACTGGAGTAAATCACCATTGGATTTCCTACATTTTGAATGATAGATAACAAGGAGTTAATTTAAACAGATTGTAGTCTGATAGAGTTGCTGTATTTATATGGCATTCTGCAAGGGAGTGTGTTACTGCCAACACTCTTTCACATAAATCAATAATTTACCTGACTTTGTGTCCTCTGCTGTACACCTCTTTGCTGAAAATACAAAGATGGTGCAACAGATTTAGTTTGATCAAAATAAGACCCGACTCCATCTAGACAATATCTGTAAATGGCTGGACATATGGATATTTAAATTTCATCCAAGATTATAACTAATGGAAGGAAAGGAGAAGAAAGACAAAGCTATTTACAATAACACCAAAAATGAGCAACTGAAGTTAAATGGGACAGAGTAAGAGAAGAATCTGGGAATTGTAGTTGAGAGCAAACTGACATTTGAAGACCATGTAAATAATAATCTGGTAAACCAAATACTGTATTGGGAATGCTAATAAAGATAATTGTCCTACCTGAATGAAGAAAATTTCAGACAATGGCAGAAAACCCTGCCATGGCCAGATTTAGAGTAAACCAAAAATTTCAGACAATGGCAGAAAACCCTGCCATGGCCAGATTTAGAGTAAACCAATGCCACACATGGCATCCTCACAAGTTGAAAGACATCCATACAATCAAGAATGTTCAGAAAAGGACAATGAAACTGTTACCCAAGCTGAAAACTTGAGTTACAAACACTGCCGGAGGAAGGTGAACATCCCATCAATGGCATATCACAGGATATATGAGGATATGACAGAAAACTTTAAAATGATGCTAGAAATGCATCATGATGAGGCATGTCTACCAAGATCACAAAATGGCAGTACCAGACATCATATTTCTAAGCTGTTCACAAGCTGAGACAAAACAACTTCTCAATGCACCATGTGGACATATGAAACTATTTACCTAAACTGATGGTTACAACTCTAAACATATTGATCATCAAAAAAAGACTAAACAAGTATTAGGCAAGTGAAGATGATGTCATGTTGGCTACAAACCCTCAGATACATGTTGTAAGGACATCAAGTTTTCATACAGAATAAGACAAAGTAAACAAAGTACAGTACTATAATTACATCAGAAAAAGATACGAGTGTCAAAAACCGATGTGACCCTATCAAACACCACAGGTTTCTTCTGGGTATCCAGTTTACTCCTATATTAACAATATACAATAGAGTTCACAACCAAGTAAATAGCACACCAACCACCCCAATGACTAGTAAGCTGATAAGTGGTGAAATGATAAGTTAAAAATTTTAATTTAAGGCATTCCTGGCTTGCCATTGAAGTTCTGTTGCTAAAAACTATGATGTTAATCATGATGATGTTTTTCAAAACCGAAAATCCCATAGACCTAATGTTATGAGTCGAGGTTACATGCAAGGGATGTTTTCAGGTCATGGGAAGTATGATTTCTGGTCACTTTTTCTCACCTAAATATTGCTGACTCTTTCAGAAAAGAAACAAAAACTTTATTAAATAAAGTAAATACTGTATAGTTAGTCATCATTTGTAGAAATGGTTCTGTTCGTGACAGCTCTTGTGAAGTGTGAAATCAATTTTCCCATAAGAAACAATTAAGGGGTGGGGGGGTGCATTCCTGGCCAGGAATTATAGGGGTACTTGGGCTGATTTTTCATATAAAAATAATTAAAAATCAAATTAAATAACATCACATACTGTACATATAAATACATAAGAAATACAATGAGAGGTGTGTGTGTTCTCCATATCATGGCCATTCATCCACTAACCAACCACCACCATGGTACACCCTGCATCATCTTGCCACCAACACCATCTAGCTACACCAAGTTTTATCACTTATGACATTACAACAACAAGCATGTAATAATCATAAAATGCATTAAATAATTATCTAAGTTGTGGTAATAAGTGTCTTACTGAAAGGTAATTCATCAGCTGTTCTTCCTTCACCAGGCTCATCTCATTTAATAATGCCTAATTTCACCTCTAAAATGACAGTCTTTTGCTATTTCTTGATACAAACACTGGCAGGTCATTTTATGACATGATGCACAATTTGGGGCAATTTCTAAAGAAACAATTGTATAATACTGTATGTAAAAACAACGAGAAAGTTCTGAATGATTCTCACGCAAAGTATAAAATTGTTCTTACTGGTACGTATCTTAAAATATGTAAAACATCTGTAGTCTTTAGCGTACCATCAACATTTCACTAAACATAAGCAATATATTCAGATAACTAACGCACATGCCTCTCACTACTACCGTAATGGGTTCGAGTCCCTAGTTTATATGAGAAGGGTGTTAGCTGGTGTGACACAACCAAACTTCACAGGTTTCTCCAGGTACTATACTCCAATTTCTTCCTATACTAATATATAATAGTTGAGTTAGTTCTATAAATTGTAGTACCAATGTTTTCTATGATAACTTGTACATGCACACAGGAGAGACTGTAAACATATTTAAAGGTCTCTATGTCTTTGATATTTTTACTGGAATTCCTGAGGGTCTTAGGTAACTTTTTTTTACTTTAAGTAGGATAAACAAAAAGTTCCCACACACTCCCAGCTTTGCACCAATTATTTTTTTAATATTAAGCTCTTAATTGTGTTAAAAAAAGTTCTCACACTGTCAAAATATTGTGGTAGTCATTTTTCCGCTTAACGATGTAAAAACTAATACCCTGTAATATCGTCTGGGAAGATGTTAAGTAAGGTTAGCCTGTATATGAATATACAGTAGTACAGAAAAAGAAATTTGTTTTCTTACCTGCCATACAACACTGACAGCTGCTAAAAGATGCGGGGTTTGGTGATGACAAATTGGAGACAATAGTTCTACTATCTGTTGTCTAACTCCTCGTCTACTGCCCAACATGAAGGCAGATTCCTGATCATCTCCTGTTGCAGCCCAGAGAGAAAGTAATGCAGAAATTATTCGAGGCAAGTGGCAGAGAAGAGTCTGGCGGGCACAAGCTGGTGGATCCAAGCCACTGCTGTCAACAGGTGCATCCATGATTTCCCCCACTGGTGAGAAGACGTGAAGAAGATTATACAAGATCTGGCCAGCAGTCTGACTTGTTGGGGAAACAGCTGAGGCTGTGAAAGATGAAGATCCAAATGCTGGTGACTGTGTTGGGTCCAGGAGACAGTAATGAACGGTGGTAGTGAGGGATTGCAACAGTGTCAGTGTGTAGTCTGGAGGGGCCTGTGGAGAGGGGGCACCTGGGAAGTAGTAATGGGCCATGCACTCCAACAGCTCACACACTAAGTATGTCACACGTAAGCTGTTGTTTGGCAGTGAAGGGCCCATATGTGGCAATGCAGCAGTAAATAAGTGTAACCATGATCCATGCAGGTGACGTAAATGGTGTTGTTTCAATGCAACAGTTAGTACCTCCATAAACATGGGTTGAGCTGGAATGGGTTGTCCTGGCTGGTACTTGGTAGCACTGAACCCTGAATATTTCATGCTAACACTAGGAGGATCACGGATTACGCCACTTTCAGCCCGATCAGTTGCCAGAGTGTCTTCTAATCGAATTAAAGCAAGAGTGAGATCAATAATCCGGGCCAGGTAGGTCTCTTGACGGGAAACGGAGCCCGAATGGCCAGAAGAACCACAATTGTACTCGAGCACCTCCTCTGTGAAGGTTCTTATTTCCTGGCTAAGAAAATGTTTTTGGTCTGAAGCAGCAGCTGTTCCAGTTGTGGTCATAGAATGCACTGTGGAAAGTAAGCAGTGCAACACACATTTCTGCACTTTGCATTTACTTAACAGGTCAGTGATATATGGAGTAAAACCCCTAGGCGAATCAGTCACCAAAGGCGACAAGTGGGTAAAGATAAGAATGAGAACTTCTGCTGATGTTACTTGGACCTCCTGGTTGTCATGTAGGTGTTCATCTCTCAATCTTAAATGTGGAAGGCAAGGGTAGTATGAGCGTAGGTAATAAAGGCACACTGTGATCACCACCTGCAGATACATGGTAGACCGAAACTGACTCACCATATCATTCACACTTCCACCATCAAAACCATCTCCAAAGACAGATCGACGATGTCTAGCCAATAATAATATCAACGGTGATGTTGACTGTAAGGTGTTAATGCTTGTTGATGCTAGGGCTAAGAGAGAATTTTTGGGCTGTGCTTCAATTATATTTCTGATTAATGTTAATCCATTTAAGCACTGTCCACTGTCAACAACTTGCATGTACAAAAGCATGTGAGAATGGAATGGATGTCTTGTCAATTCTGGAACAATGCCATCACTCATTACAGACTGAGATGTGGTGTCCTGATCACTAGACCCATCACTCTCAGGATACTTATAGTGGTCAGTTACTACAGCATCTATTATTTCTTCCAAAATACTTCTAACAATCTTGGTTGATGTCCACTGCTCTTCTAATTCTTCCTCTTGTTCATCAAACCCTATCGGTGATCCTTCTTTCCCGAAGTCCTCCTGTAGTACAGATGATGTTGATGATTTTTGATAGCTTCCATTTTGTATTCGAACTGCATTGGATAGATTTAATGGCTTGTTCATTTTTGCCAGATCTTCCATATCTATCCATGGATGTTGCATGAATGGGTTTACCATGAGAGAAATAGATGACTGCAATTGAGGCTGTTCATGACTAGATGGTAAATCAAATTCAGTAAAATTAGCATGGTGAGTAACTACCCTTTTGCTGTCTTTAGATATTGATGTGAAGGCCAGTATATGCTTGTCAGGTGCAGATATCTGCTTTCCTTTCACCTGAGGTTGTCTTCCTTCCTTGCTCACATGGTACATGACCTCTCCACCTTCAGAACTGATGGCATATATCTGGGATTCCTCTACCACACAGTTATTTCCTTGGCACTGTTGTGTTGGGGGTAACTTCTCAATGTTGACATGCTGAACACTAACTCTGCGAGTGTGAGGATGAAGCAATAACACCAAAATGGGATCCATTAACCGTGCAGTATCACTACGCTGCAAGGCGGTAGCAAGCCAGGCATGGGCAAGGCTACGCTCGGTGCCACTGTCTCCATGTAGACGCTCTACCATTAAAAACAAACACCTGAAAAAAATATCAATTACTATCCACATCCACCAGTATCACCATCACTGATCAACATTTTCTAACAAAGACAATCTATCTCTCTATATCTTGCACAAATTCTGCCATACATTATGGGCACTATGTACAACCATTACACATACCTAACAATTCTTTCGTGTATGCAACCCTCTCCCACAGCTGTCCCATCACCGGTTCAACTAACCTTCAACGATCCTGTTTCCAAACTTGAATTTATGGAACTGCTACCAGACTCTGAGTCACTTCTCCACAATCATTCTAGCCACAAGTACAGAGCACTAACCGTGTTCTTCAATTACTCCTTGGTAGCTTATCATCCACTCCATATTGCATTTCACATTCTCCTTAACGCCTTCACTACAGGATGCCACTTTTCATATTTTATTTGGTTAACATCACACGATTTTATTCGGCAGAGAAAGACCCCCATACACGAGGAATTTACCTCCCCTTACTATATGGTTGAAATGCATACAGTACTGTACTCTAGATGTTTAATTGCAATACTGTACTATAAACTAAATGGAGTTACAGTATTAGTGTGCAGTAAGGATGGGGTTCATCCACATCAAGTTCAAAAGTGGATGTGGATTAACTTCATGAACTTTCAATCCATTACAACAGACTAGTATCTATATTCATATGCTCTTATTTGTTTATGTCTATCTGTTTACTGTAATGGGCTGTTTGATATAAGGGCCCTTATTTTCTTACCATTTTAAATCTATCTTATTCTTATGTTTCTTTGAACATTCCTCTCTTATTCCATGTATACATTTCTCTTAGGCTTAGATCACTGTACCTATAAACATACACTTCAGCTTCTTTATGAGGTGGCTTACTGAAAATGAGACGAGTTAAATTTACCTATCAAATCCTGGACGTCTTCCTGATAATCCAGATGACAAAGTGCGGGACACCTGCCACAAGGTGATCCACTGCTGCATGGCTGTGCTGTCATACTCTGCACGTATACCCTCATGACTCCATACAACCCCAGTCTTTGAGGATATATGAAATAAAATTTTGAGAGATGAACTTTTCATTAGCCTTTACATCTGTTTATTGTAAATAAAATAATGAACTTCTACAGTATTTATTTCATCATTGTTCACCTGAATCATAAAAGAGCTTAATCTTATTTTTCAATGTCTCATAAACAAGATATTACATAATACTGATTCTATCCCATCTTGATCTAATCTTCACAATCATGAATGGGACATGCAGGGATTTAACCCAAAAGTGATGACCAACCTCTTCACGACTGCCTCACCACCACCGTCGGACCACAAGTTCTACTACCCAAGCTAACCTCACTGTACCAACCACAACCTGTGCCCGTATGTTTTAAATCCCCTTTATTTACATTTTATTAAAAATATAGACTATCTTTATGATATAAACACATTAGTTTTCACACTAACCATAGTCTGTTCACTCGAACCTTGAAATTGAGGCCTAGGTTCAGCTTGTAGCAAGGCAGCTACACGGGAAAAGTCACTACAATTCATTAGTACAGTACAGGTATTTAATCTACTGTATTTATATTATGATATTTTAAAGGCTATTAACTCTTCTGTTTCGATCTCTGATATTATCTGCACATGAGAAATCATGTGAAATGCTCTGGTAACATAAATATTTTGAAGAGAACACGAATTTGATGAACAAGTTCTGAAACAACTTCTACTCCCTGCGTGACGTCACGTAAGGTGATGAAGGATGTCACTGACATTTTAAATTTTTTTCTTGTTCTCTTCAAGCAATTTGTGTTACCAGAGTGTTTCACATGCTAATTTTTGCTTCCCCCAGAGCGGTAATTATCAAAATATCAAAATATAAATACAGTAGATTAACTACTAAAGAATTGTAGTGACTTTTACCATGTCCTTCTGCCAATCAATCAGCTGCCTTGTTACAAACAGACCCTAGGCCTCAGTTGCAAGATGTGAGTGAACAGACTATAGGTAGCTATGTATATACCACATTCAATATTGCAATACTACAACCTCAAAGAGATTAAAAATAGGTAAAAAATAATACAGTATATGTTTTGTTTTGTTTTAAGATTTCTTTACCTTTCTTCCGCCCATAGTTTCCCTTTCAGGATGGGGCCTACCATATGTTTCAGGATGGGGCCTACCATATGTTACAAGCTGCTCTCTGCAAGCTCTATAAGCCTCATGCTCCTGGGCCACTCCTCTGCCACTATCATCTATCCTCCAGCCTTTTTTATTTCTCATTTGGAAGTCACGGCAGATAATCTACTACATACAAAATCACTAAGTGATATGCCTACCTAAAATCAAAATCATTTTGAAACAAACCTTTTTTCTTGTATCAGTGACCAGAAGTGAACGAGTCAATGCAAGAAGAATTTGTCTCTCAACAATAGATATGGCTGACTGAGGTGGAGCAGATGTGAGGGTAGCACTGGGTCCATGAGGCAGTGTCAAGTTGTGCAACTGAAGGAGCAGTTCTGTGCTAGTTACATGGAACTGACTCATGCTAGGTTCAAGGTAAGTCCACAGTTGGCGTGCCATGTGCTGAAAGAAGATATTTGATATACAGTACAGTTCAAAATTATGCCTCCCACATCCCAAGATCCACATACAGTACAGGGTATACTGAAAGTTATCGCCACTCACTTATTAGTCAAACATTCATGTAGAAATTAATAATGTATGGCAGCTGAATTTGTTTCAAAGATATCTGATACACATGAAGTACACTAACCAACAAAACAAGTGAAAAAACAAAAAACATACCTGATATACAAATGTATGATACAACAATATGTGAGTGTGCGTTGGTAGAAGCAGTGGTGTGATGTTAACTGTGACTACACCAGCTTCACCACCTCCTTCAAGTGCTGATTCACACTGCCACACCGAGAGCTCAGACTGAGCCAACATGACAAGTTCCAAAAGAGTAGATATGGAAGCTAGAGAAAATTCTGGAGAGACTTGGCCTCCACAAACAACACATGCTAATAATCCAATAAGCCACTGTGGGATGCTGGCGCTTGGTCGAGTGAGCGTCAATCCTGGGGTTGTTGGAAGAGATGAGAGATCAACAAGGATGCTACAAGATACTTTGAAAACTCCAAGCTGTTCATCTGATTTGGGATTCAACTTAAGAACAGACATGAAATCAATAAATTCATCCTTGCTTTGCATATGAACAGGTGAATTTGAATGAGATAATTTTGAGGGAGTTGTTCTAGGTGATGTTAACGATGATGGGTTTCTGGTTGCTTGAGATCCTTTTGATCCATTTTTTGCTTCGCAACAGTGCAAACACTCTTTCAATAAATTCTTAAGTTCAGAGAGACTGTCTATACCCAACATATCAGACCTATATAACATATTTTGAAAGTCTATAATTGATGAATTATTTGATATTAACTTTTTTTTAATAAATTCAATGAAAAATTTTTCAAAGTTTTTCACATAACTATGAATGGGAGAGGAATTTTGATGGTTAGGACTCTGTGGAGCACTTTCATACTCATCCTCACTTGCTTCTTGGGAGATCTCTAAATGAGAGAGATCAGGATGATGAACACCTATACTATCCATTTTCTCTCTTCTGTCTGTGGATGCATCAAACTCCAATTTACTCTCAGTTTTATCAACCATATCTTCCACTTCATCGAGATCAAACAAATCAACTGTAGTGTTGAGTTTCATACTAAATACATCATCTTTTACAGACACATTTCCATCTTTTGCAGATTCTTCACTGTTTCCAATATCATTTTCAATTTCTGTTTCAGATTTTCTTGAGTCTTCAGATAACAATTTAGGTCCATTACATATAAATGAGGTTTCTGCTTCAATATCAGTTAAATTTTCATTGACAATACTAGTATTTTCTCCTGTTACAGAAGTATCCGTGCTATATTCATTATTTCTATTTTCCTCACTCAGACTCACATCTTCCTCATTTGCCTCAATACCAATTTGAACAATGCCAGATTCAGAAGGAGGGCTCTCCCGGGCAGAGGCTTCTGGGACAACTGTGGGTCGAGGTACAGTTGAAACTTGTGAAAGTGCATGGAGTTGCAACGAAGCAAAAGTACCAATACTAGCTCGTGACTCTGGCCGAGAAAGATTAGTCAAAGGAGGAAGAGTGACTGAAGGAATGAGTTTATGCAAAATAGCTTGACAAAGGGATAATCCTACTGAGAGCTCTTGGGCAGTCACAACTATGAGGTGTTCAGTCAGGAGGGCAGTTATAGAAGACAATACCTCTGGTAGTCTAGATGCTTGAGTCTGTTGTTGTGTGTCTAAAGGAAGTGATGTTAGCAAGTGTTGCAACAAAGTGCACAACTCACACACACTCATCTGTGAGCTTCCTACTGCTCCCACCAATGCAAAGCAACTACTAGCCTTATTGCTCTTCACTTCTTCCATATTGCTACCAGATGTTGCCTTAAGCAGACAGGCCTGACTCAGAAGGCCTGTGAGATGCATCCATGGATAGGAAGGTTGTAGAGCACTGAAGAGCAAGGTGGCAGTTTTTGTAATTTCATGAAACCCTCTGTTACCCTCTATGAGAGGTTTAGTGCCATCTGGAGACTGTGGCGGTATTGGCGGATTCTGCTTGTCTACTGTGCTCTGACGTCTACTGCTTGGTTCAGCTGGAGTCTCATTTGCAATTTGTAAAACTTGACAAGTGTGGTATAAGCATCTGAAAATAAAAAAGGTTGCCTTATTATTTTCAAATTCAGTTTTACTACTGTACATTAAAAAAAAATTAAGCAGGTACTCATATTATTACTATATTTTATATATAGATACAGTAAGTCCTCGACTTACGACGGGTTAGGGACCGACGACCAGGTCATAAGTCGAATTGGTCGTAAGTAGAAAATGCGAAAATAATATAGAAAATCTAAAATGGGGGTCTCTTTTCCTTCTCAGCACCACGAGAACTCTCACTTTTACGCTTGCCAGCCATTTTAAAGGGAAATACAAACAAAAATTTTGTCAGTACACAACGCGATCACTAACGCCAGGACTCGAAAATACGTAATTTGAAAAATATTTTGTACGACTGCGGCGGTCTTATGTCCGGGTGGTCGTAAGTCAAGTAGGTCGCAAGTTGAGGAGTACCTGTAGTGATAAAAATTGATGTACTGCTGAACATGTAACGATAGGTTGTGTAATGTGGCAGAGGTAAAGACAAAATAAAAAGAACATACACACACATTTTCCCTTCATTTTATGCCATCACTCCATTCTTACTAATGTAGTACATGTTTACAGGCAGACCCCGATTTATGAGAGGGTTACGATTCTGAAAACCTTTCATAAATTGAATTTTCATAAAGCAATGCACATTTTACTTATAAAACAAATTAAATGATACATCTGTTGATTTGTAGTCACATACTACATATATGTATGCCCATTTCAAAAGTACTTGTAAAGTATTATTTTTTTTAATGGGGATTAGCCCACCCAGGTACAGGTCACTGACCCAAATCAGGGACTGAAAAAAAAAAAAAAGATGAAGAGTGAGAAACAATATACAGTATATGTTGTGTTGTCAAAGTAAGAGACACAATTGAGACCCTGCAAATGTGTAAATGGGGCAGAAAGTCCGTCAGATCAGCAACCTGGGACTTTGTCACAATTTTTCTAATGCCATACGGCAGCAGGGCCTACCCTTAGACAACACATTATGCTTCCAATATCTTCCCAGGCAGTAGTACCTCCCTGTTTGATAGCTGCCTACTACCTACCAAGATGTACTAAGTCTTGGACTCAAGTACATGGAGAAAAATATTTATGTGTGCGTACTTGGCTCTTTCTTCACTACTGTACTTGTAATTATCTTCAAATACAGCTACCTATACTTGAACCTAATCATGGTACTGTACTACCTTTCCATAGTTATACTGTACTGTACTGTACTGTACTGTACTGTACAGTACAGTACAGTACAGTGCTCCAACTATCTGTCTGGTTTATCTTGCCACTTTATACAATCCATAACCAGCACATCCACAAATACACTCAATACAATAGAGACAGAAGGTTAACTTATGTAAAATCCTCCATCAATCAATGAATCATGACACATTCATCCAAACCTGTGACCATCTCAAATATGCACTAGGTCTTTCCCTGGTCCTGCTTCAAGTTACCATATTGAAAAGAATCTTCTTTCTTTGCATCACCCACTGCAAGCCTTTTCCCACTTTAATGCAATATCAATAGAATTTAAAGCAAACACAGATTTCCCTTCATTCACTATCATTTGTTTTTCTAACTGATGTAATACTGTACTATAATGGTATATATGCTAAAACTAAAAACATACAATAAATAAAATCAATATATTTTACCTTAGCAAATCCAAGAATATATCATCCAAAATATAAGGACCAATTTCTGGCTTATCTAACAGTGAGACTATAAGCCTGTAAGGCCGCAGGTCAGGAGGATTTATTCCTTGACTAGTCCTTAGGCATGCGATAATGCCTTCTACTAGCAAAGGTCTTGAGAAAGTTTCAAAATAGGCATTAATTTCTCCTCCATCTTCAGTGGTGGTATCACTCACGGCACTGTTAAGGCGCTTAACAACAGGGTGTTCTGATGACAACAGGGAAAGGTTGATTTCAGAACCCAGCAGCCATGCATACAGTCGTCTGGAAAAAATATATATTTATATTGTAAATTTCGAGTATCAGGAATCTGAAAATATTTGGAGTAGAGGGTTTTGGGAACAAATAAATACTATACCAAAATTTGATACAGTACTGTACATATTCCAAAAACCTATATACAATACATTTAACTGTGATCAGTAACTGGTGTGGGATGTGCACATGAATGCCACTACATACTGTATAGTAATACCTGTACATCATCAGGTTTGAAAATAAATCCACCTCATCATTCTCCTGTGCCTTTTATAAATTCTAAGTTTTTCTTTCATTATATATTATGCCATGAAGAACTTTCTCAAAGGAGTTGGATGTAGAAGTATTCAGAATGTAATAAATAAAAGGAATAGGAAAATTAAATAATAAACAGTACAGGTATATAAATGTACAAACAACTATGCTAACCTACCTATAGTCATTTTACATGATAAAATGGACCAAGACAATATTGTTAAAAGCTCCTGAATGAAGAATTTTCTGCTTACTATACATACAGCAAAATTACTACTGTTTTTGCACTCAAAAGAATACTCACAGCTAACAGAGCTCTACAACTTCCAAGGTCTGAGATTTAAGGAATTTATACAGTACACCTGTACTGTAATTGGATTACCCAGTAGGTTAAACTCACCTGTTTAGAGACATATCCCTTCTTAGCAGCACCAATATAGCAGACGTAACAATTCTGACCAAGTCAGGCCGTAATAGTTGAGTGTTATGCATAGGCAGAGCAGCAAGAGTAAGATCAAGAGCTGCCCGCTGCACCATAACACTTGAATCCTCCATGGCCTGACACAGAGCTGACACCTGGCAATTTGCAAATCAAATATTAGTCAACAGGAAAAGTTCATCCACCTATACGTACTATCACTACTATGCTACTTCCCTTTTACTGCAAAACAAGGAAAGTCAAACACTACTGTCTTAGGACATGCTGTAAAATACCCCACACTGATACGATACTCACACTTGTATTTACTCAACCTATCTTTCTAATTTAACTGAGGCCTTCCTTATCCCTCTCACGCATGCATTAAATTTTTAAGCTTCCGTGACCACGACAAAAGTCATTGTGTCCAATTAATCCCACAAGAAATTTTTTGTATGGTTTATACATCACTGGCTTCCCTGGCTTCCCTAGCAAGATCATATAGTCATCTATGATGCGATTACCAGTAACTTTAAAACATTTTTGGCAAATTTTTTAAAAGTTTAATGATGCAGTTTGCATTACCAATGCAATTAGTGTTACCCAATGATTTTACGTGATTTGCTTCATGATGCGCGAGAGGATTAATTTCTAAAAATATCTTTTATCCCCATATTTAATCATTTTTAGTTATTATTGTCTTATTCTCTCTCTCTCTTTCTCTACATGTGTCACTCGGTATTATATATTTTATGTTCTTAGCATTCCCTTCATAATAGAACAATTCTCCTGTATATCTAAATTCTTCACCTCTTCAGTCAGTACAAGCAACAGCAACTAAATCTCCTCTATCCCTTTCTTTACTCCTCTCCCACTTTTCTGTGGGATGGACCAAGGGGGTAGAGAAAACCGAGGAAAAGTAAGGAAAATACATGTAATGAACAACTGGACACTGAGAAAACATCTACAGGTCTTATATGGAAAATAGCCTCTACTGTACAGTATAATTAAAAAAATCAACACTCACTGTGACATCAATATTGGTACCCAAGATGTAAAGCTGATCTTCTGTTGAAAGCTTTTTATTGTAGCAAGCCATGATGTGTGTTATGGCTGGAAGACGAACCCCAGAGTTACCCCAAACACAATCCCAAAGGCAGCCAAAGAATTCTGCCTGGCCAACTCCCTCAGCAACTCTTGACAGAAGTTGGGATGTCCTTTGGAAGAGAATCAAAAGGTTCTTAACATATGACAATATTTTTTTACACACCACATACAGTAATTAGGGATGGATTAAGAGTGACTTGTGTCCCAGGCGGTGCCCCCAACCACAGCCTTCTTCCCTACTCATGTTGACATCCTACAGTAAATTTCACAAGTGCTCTAATGTAGAACACTATACTGTACACTACTGTATTAAAATATTCCATTTGGCTTCTAAAAATGTTATCCAGTGAACTGCATATCACAATCAATATACTGATGAAACTCTGTATACTATACTGTATACTAATTTAAAAAAAAAAGTAAAAAAGCTCAAGCAAAGATACACAAAATCAGACAAAAAAATAATAATCAAGGTTGAAGGTGAAACAATGTATATAAATCTGTACCTATACAGACTAATACAGACAGGTTGAACACCTCCAATCCAGCATCCTCGTGACCAGACCAGAGCTGGACCAAAGAATTTTCCAAACCATGGGTGGTCAATATATGTACTGTCATGCCAAAAATGATACAACTTATGTACACAGCCTCAGGAAAGATAGCAGCCTGACCTCAATGCTCGCCATAGTAATGCATCCCAACTGAAACAATACCTCTATTTACCCCTTATTAATGGGCTCCATCATGCTGGGACAGCATGCTAACTTTTGCACAAGAAGTAATGTTTATTCCCTTTATGTATTTCATCCTTATGCTAATTATCTTCTGTACTGTATGTAGGACTGTGTGAGCATGTAACCAAGTAAAATAATAAAAAGTTATGTACATCTACCAGAAATTGTGGGTTGAATATAGCTAACAGCTCAGTCTGGTAGGGGGATGTGGCAACATCAGCAATCATTCCCCGTAAATAACCCACAGAAATGCATGAATTTTAACCCCTGAAAAATATTACGCATATACAGTACAGTTCAACCCCCTATTTTTTGCATAAGGGTTTGTCATAAATTTTTTTAACTATAGTACTTGTGTATTCGTGGTAAATAAGCCAACATAACATAATAATTTGGTGTTGTTATACAACTTTAAGGTACATTATTGGCAGTGTTGTACGTTGATGGCGTTAATATAACGCCATCAATGGACGGCTGCAACTTTTTGTTAACGCTGACGCCATAAATTTTTTGGGCAGGTGAAGGTACAGGTGACGCAGTTAACTTTTCACCTGAGCGGAGCGTCAAGCGTCAATTTGTTCGTCAACTTTTATTTTTCTTTATTTTTCCAAGTTCGATTTTCAATTATCTTGTTCTAAAGACGACCGGGAAAATTTTTGCCACACCTGCCACCTGCGCAGCTTTCTACAGATTTGAATTTTCAAGTCAGGAAAAAGGCCACCAACCAGCTGTCCAGGTTGGTGGAGAAGTCCGTGCACGAAACTGAGAGCAGCAGCAGTGAGGGAGACGACAAAGATCATGACATGGAGGACCAATTGTTCCAGGCCCTGTACGAGACCCCCCGCAGGAATGAAAAAGACAGTGACCTTTCCAAGCGTTTCCTGGGGGAGAAACCTTCGAAAAAACTTTCGACAAGGACACCTTCCCCAACACGGCCATGAAGGAGTTGTTCATCAAATACAACACCCCCATCCCCTCTAGTGCTGCCGTGGAGCGCATGTTCTCCATGGGCAAGGACGTCTTGAGGCCCAAGTGCGGCAGAATGAGCGACAAGCATTTTGAGATGCTAGTATTCTTGCGGGGAAACAAATGAATAATTAAAATGATATAATAAAAATCACAATACTGTAAATGATTAAAAATGAACGAATATTTTTTTATTTTGCATATGTTACTCCCATACACAGGAGAATACGCGTTTCGGGGCTGCATTCGTACGTCACTGAAAACTCATTGCCACTGGCAATTTATGATATCGTTTATGCCGATGCTGACGGCATCAAATTTCTCGGCCGTTTACGCTGACGCTGGCGGCGCCACTTTTTTTCATCGACGCGTACAACACTTATTATTGGCATTAGGAAATGCATAGAGGAACTATAAAAAAATGACATGACATATGACGAGAAAAACTCAGGCTGGACCATGGAAATCCGGACGGAGCTCTGACCTGTACCGTACAGTATAAACAAAATTGCCAGCCTTTACCGTGTCAATACAGAACATTATAAATTAGTAGGTTATTTCTCTTCATTAACATTATATAGTCAGACATTATGGAGTCAATAACGTACTTAACTTATGGTAAAAACTATCAAAATATGCCAGCCAGCTGATCCCTATTTAACAGCATCTTCTAGTTCCACAGGCAATGTGTATGTTTGTTCGAGTGTTTATCATTCTGTCTCGTGGCTGCGGCCAGATGTCAGCACCCTTGTTATCTAGTGATCGATTCAAATAATTTAACCATGCAACAAAGTTCAAATTTATTAACTTGAATTTCCAATGCTATAATAAGTTATCAATACAGGACTAATATATACTGTTGTACTGGAAAGTTATGGACCCAGAGAGTCCACCTTGTCTGCTCCCCCCCCCCCATTACATAAACTCAAACAAGGAGAATAGATACACACACAAACAAGCACATTAATCAAGCAATGAATATTTTTGTTTCCGTTCTGTATGTCCCATTCAGTGTTTCTTCACATTTTTTTTTTTATTTTGCACTAGTTACAGCAATTGAGACCAAATAATGTACCTTGGTGCAGTGGATGGTTCTTAAAGTAATAAACAGAACATAAAATTACCTCTCCAAATGATCAGAGCCTTCCTCCAGCCCAGCAAGGATGCCAGATAGGAAGCCATTTAGTCCAGGTCTTAATCTGGGGCCCAAGGGGACAAAATGAGTTTCATATACTGTGAGAAGTGCAGACCTTACATTCATTGCAGCACTGCTGAAGAGAGGGAATAAACCTGCAAAACAGAAATAGCAAAAACTAGAGTAAAACATCTTTGCCAATTATCCTTCATTCTATCAATCAATATCATGTTATCATAGCCATTACAGAATTTCTAATTAGTAAAGTCCTCATGGAGCTCACCAAACCCCCACTTAAGTCACATCCTCACACTATCCTTTTAACTCGTCTTTAGTTTCTCCAAGACTGATTTAAGGAGATAATTCTGGGATTTATGTTGGAACTGTATACTGTACTGTACTAATGTTTTTGGCACCTGAGTGTGTGTGTGTTAAAGACAACCTAACTGAATCTTTGGATCAAAAATATGAATGGCATGCAAATTTTGAACCCCTGAACTTGAACACACAAAAAAATTCAGATGTCTTGAAGGATATATCTCCCTAAAACATCTGAATGGCACTGAGTTTTAGGCACACAGGCATTTTATAAATGTCTTCACACATTTGTGAACTAAAGTTCCAAGAACAGTATCATGCCACCTCTGTTCCCTCATATGGCTCTTTAATTCACTTCACTTAAAAACACTCATTTTGTCAATCTTGTCAAATCCACTAAATTTCCCACTTACCAAGATTCTCTGTACATTATGCTGCTCTTATTCAACCACTCTTTCTGAGCCCATTATCTATCCTGAGCTGTCACATTTTTCATTCTGACCATTCTTGTACTACACCATATCCATCACTCTCCAGAGCTTTGAAGACAACATTGTATCCATATTTACAATACTGTATGCTGTTAAACCTTCTTCACAAAGATAATAAAATACTGCACTGTATATAAATGTTAAAAATCTGTTTCTGGGTATTCATAGACAAAATTACAAAAAACAATAAATGTAAATAAATCCCAAATCAAAAGATCATTTGGAAACATTTACTGACCTGCACTGTATATAAACAGTTCTTGTGAGAGGCGATTGGTACCCATACATTTGAATATAATATCATATGTTTCAAGGGCCTTCAAATGAACTCCTGATGGCAGGGCAGGATGCATGCACTGTGCCAGTCGCTTGCTGATGGTTATGCGTCGTGGGACAACAGGATATTTCATGTGGGATAGTAACACCTGTTCAAAATACATAAAGACAGGTCAGAAGGGAATATACTGTATGACCTTTATCCCAAACATCCCTAATCCCAGGTATGTCAAGTGATATGGAGATCAGAAGAATTGCACAAGTGAAATATGTTAAAGATCATGGAATCATATACAGGTATCCCCGATATACGAAAGGGTTGTGGTCCTGGAAATTCTCTTAAGGGAAACACATACATACATCAAATGGTAGAAGCCATGCATTACTGAGGATTATGTTCCAGTGAATAAAAGCAATTGTACATTAAAAGATAAAGACCATCTCCAGTATTATTGAGGGTTATGTTCCAGGGAGGGAGAAAGTTGGTCCACTGAAGGGTTTTCAAACAAAGTTCATCACTGTACATCCTGTAAAATTAACAGTAAACAATAAATACAGTGATCATGTAAGGAGAGCATAAATGCACCTCTAATCATCCTAGGCGGCCGTCTGGACCATATGACAGCTATAAGTTGGCAATCTTTAAAGAAAAGCAGGTGTCAATATGTGAGTAAGTTAAAAGGAATTTCCATATCAGACATAGTACATATATCAGGGGATATCTTTACAGTAGAACCCCCCTAGTTCACTACAGTACTTCGCAAAATAGATTACAGTAGTTCACATCAATTTCATTTCTTAATTGACTGCATCAAGGCTGCCAAAGACAATATAGCAGTACACATTCTAAAAAATAAAAAAATAAAAAGAGAAATAAAAAAAGGAAAAAATTATAACAATAACATCACAGAACATTTTTTGATCATACAGGCAGTCCCTGGGTTATGAACGAGTTCCGTTCCAGGGGAAGTTACTCAGTCGAAAATGTCTAAGTCGAAACACATGCTATGTGCATACTGTACTTACAGAACAATATTTAAAATCCCAATATATCATAGCCTAAGTCCTTATATACATCTAAAATCACTTAATTTAAGAGAAAAGAAGAAGTAGAATGACAAAATACAGTAAATGAAGTAAAAAATAAGTCATCAGGAAAATAAAATACTGTAAATTTAAAGTTTAACCTCGTTCGTATCGGCGGAAGTTCGTAAGGCAGACGTTCGTAACCCAGAGACTGCCTGTATTTGTCATGTGAATTAGGAATACATATACTGTAATGTACAAACATAATTGATGAATTTTGTTGAATACAATTACAATACAGTACAGTATATCATCTCATTTTATTAATTTATGGACAAACAATTACAATAGTACAGTAATATTAGAGTCCCCAGTGTTGCCTCATTTCCCCCCAAATGGACTGCACATGTTTTCATGACAAGGATAACATGATATACTTTAACTTATTGAAATATTACCTTATTAAGTTTTCCCAGTGTGGAAATAAGGTCTGCCCATTCACTGGTATTTTCAAAGTTACGTAATGTCTTGTCCACTGCTGCCACATACGCCCGGTACTTGGAGTCCCCAAGTAAATCATATTCTTCAAGACTTAGTCCACTCATACTGTAAACAATTTGCATGGTGAACTATTTATTCATTTAAAAATGTGCATTACTGAAAAATAATTTATCCATGACCTCTGTCTCCCTATCTCCATTTAATCTACTATTTTCAACATCAATAAATGTAAGATGAGAACAGGAGGCCACACATGCTAAACACAAGTCTTCAAGTAATAATCAGTACTTTAAATAAAACCTTTTCACTAGCTAAACTAAAGATAGATCAGAATTTTGGCCTAAGATAAAAAAGGAGTCTGGCCTGCCAATAACAAATACTGTTGAAGGTTTACAGAAATTAAATATTGGATAACAATTGTGTTTTAAAAGGTCAACTTTCATGCCACTTTACTGATACAGTAGTACATCAATAAAGGTACTATTAATTGGTAAACAATAGACACTAGGAGGTTTAAGACTGTCCTGGTCCACAAGGAATATTACAGAATCTATACAATAATCTTATGGCATTACATATGATTTGAAAGTTCATAAACCAAATGTTAAAACTCTACAAGGCTAGAGTTTTGTGATACCCTGTAGATCCTTGTCATCAGGTGTTCATCAACTAATACACAGAAGGTGGATCCAAACAAAAAAAAGAGTTATAAACAGTAATAATTCCCATATCATATATGGTGGTATGTAACAGTCAACCATAATTTGAATAGTGCAATAACTGCCTATACTTTGCTATAACTGAGAAGCATGTGTAGAGAGAGCATTGCATCATAAGGGGCAAATATTGAGATGTATATGGGAATACACGTACAGTATTTCAGCCGACATTATTATACAGGTATGAAGCAAGAATTCAACAAGCATGAAAGAAGAGCTTCAGGTAGATGTGACTGAAATGATTTACCTGAGAGCAATATTTGGGTGGACAGCATACCAAGAATATGAGGCATGGATGTGTAAAAGAGGTAAGAAGGTGATATGAGGGAGCACTGGACATTGTATCAACCTGGGTTTCCTTCTGTGGTATGGACATACTGAGAGATCAAGAAATGAAAGCATAGTAAAAAGAAAATAGATTTCTGATGCTACATAAACTATGAGGATGCCCATGCAACTAACATGTGATCAGAGGTGAGTGGCAATAAAGTAAAGTTACTTCATTAAGGACCACAGACAGTAATCAGTACTCTTACTTCAGTTCTTATTTTTCAGGCCTCTTGTTCCCTCACTACTTTATTCTAGGTCTACAAGAGTCGGTACAAATGAAAAAAATATAATCGAGTAAGAGGAACTTGAAGGAATAATGGTGGTAAGGAGGTAATAGGAGATATGGACATCCAAGAAGCTGTGTGCATAAATGACTGGAAAAGATGAAATGAAGTGGTGTTTGAGGATGGACATACTGCTGAGGAGTGATGCTTGGGTATTTGAAGCAACAGGAGTAAGATGGATATTTTGGGGTCTTGTTGTGGAAGTGAAACATCAGAGCAGAAATTTTTTTGGGTAGAACGACTCAATGGTTGTGTAACAGATAAAGGGAGAGTTTGTGTTTGGTCTTGATTCTGCCTATCTTGTATCGCAGCAGAAAAAACTTCCAGGAGAAAGCCAAGAGTGAAAAAATAACAATAGATGAATATTCTAAATAATCTATCAATCTTACCGCTCAGATGTTAACTTAAATTTTGCCTTCCCCGTCACCTTGGCGTTCACAAATGAAGGAGAGTGCATCATGTATTTGTTAGCAACATACCAGGTAGAAGTTTAATGCATGAATGTAGGTTAAGGTTTTCACATCCAACTCTCTCTTATAATCAGCTTGTTACATGCAACTCCTGTAAAAGCAAGAAGCACATGCAACTAAATTATTAACATTTGAAAAGAGACAAATGATGATACAAATACTGTACAATGAAAAAAACAAGAACATGCAACATTCCATGCACGGTAGTCTTTTAACAGCAACTAAATCAGTGCACAAATAGCTATGCAATATCACGGTTATGATTGAAGAGGAATACTGTACTGAGCCTGTTATCCAAAGACTTGTGGCTGACCCCCTTTTATAATACAGTACTGTAAGAGAGCTTTCCATTTTTGAATGTTTCATGGAGAATTGAAGTTTCTAGTACTCAACAAAGAGGACTGCATGTATTGTATCAGTGTTTTAAATGTACAGATAACCAGTGGAATATAACCAACGATTAGATCCAATTACAACACAGATTCTTACTGTATATTGTTTGCTGTCATTAGTTGCTGTTAAGGGCCAAAGGAGATAACATGCTACACTCTCTGAATTGGATGGCTGCTATTATAAACTGCCTCTATAAACTACACCACTTGCCCAAGTAGGGAGATGTGTTAATGTGTTAATTTCTGAGCCTCACTGTTGTTAGCTTTCAGGAGAACAAACACTCTACCTACAGTCTTCTAGAAGCTGATGACTTTAACCAAAACTAACATCAATATTCAAAGTGACTTGCTCAACATATTGGCTATTAAACTGTAATACTGTACTTCAGTAGATATGAAATTAACTGTTTTACCATCAGCACTCTTTTTAATGATCTTTTCCATTCGTTCCTATTATCACAGAATGTATACATTTGGTATCCTCGTGTAGTAATTTAATGTGCTTTAGAAATAACAAAATAGCCCTAGAGGGTCCTAGGCAAAACGATCAAGAACAAAGGAGGGATCCTCCACAGGCCACTGGCCTCCTTCCCTGGACATGGCCACCTCTAGTGGGTGGCCATTTGGTAAATAAGGTAAAATTACTAATATTCCTGTTAATAAAAATAAGAACAGAGCAGCATCTGTGAAAATTTTTACCCACAAATGAAATCCTCAATATAAGAAATTTGGTGTTGAATTTATTTACCATTTGTTAATCAAATTGTATCTTTTAATAATGACTCAAAACTGAAATCAACTAATGAAACTTTCCCAAATATATACTGGATCAAAATTCATTAAGTACAGTACTGTACTGTACAGCACAATAATAACTGAAAGAGCTTCTTACCTATATTTGGGTTTTACAGACTTGAGAGAAATCCAGACAGAAGTGACTGTTATGCAGCCATGGATGGAACTCACCTGGCCAATTTGAAGCAAATCTGTTCCTGTGACCTGACCAATGACATTAGGTCTCATCTACTGGAATGATCAATCAGGTTCACCTGCCCAAATCTATGATTATCACTGAAATGTTTACTCAGCCAATACAAAGGTTACCCACCTGGGATATATGAAGAAGTGCAAATTTCAATAAATCCTCCATTAAAAAATTTCAAGTTATGTTTTAACACAAAAAGGTGGGAAAATGAGCTTATGTCTATAATGTATTTAAAGATATCAAAATAACAAAGACAACGGATATGGATTAAAAAAAATGTGATTCAATCAAAAGATTAAATTATAATAATGATTTGATAATGTGAGGTTTTCTTTGACAGGAATTAACTCAAACATGGCCTCCATAACCTAACATACCTTATTACTATGTACTCTTGTCCCTTGTAGGCTAGATGCTACCCTCTGTAATGCCAAATTTGTAGGTGAATGATTTAAGTGTGAAGAGTTGTGGTGGTGCAGCTGTGTGTATGGTATTACTTCAGCTGCAAACACCGAATTTGACCTAAAACCAGCAACATGGCTCCTAGACCTAATCATTAAAGAACGTGTACATAAGAATGAAGGAACTGTAACGAGCCTATTAGTCCAACCAATCTAGGCAGCCCTGTTTACATCCAACCCACAACCTATTACTGAAGCTTCCCACCAAGTTAATGATGACGTTTGGTAATTTGTTCCGCTCTTCAACAACCCAATTTACCAACCGATGTTTACCTATTTCATACCTAAATTTATATTTGTCTAATTTAAAACCATTGCTAGGTTTTTGCTCTGGATTTGATAGATTAAGTCCTTAGTCATAGCCACTTTTTTTAACCCTGACTTCCAATTAATAAACTTTGATCATATTGCCCCTCACTCTATGTCACAGCCGTTTTTAAATGCTGCTGTATTTACCAATCTCCCGCACTCACTAATGACTTCTAACTGCCTAAATAAGTGAAAACGGGACTAAAGGCAACTGTCCCAGCCGCCCGGGAAAGTTTTAGTTTGGTGACGTGAGGTACTGTACTGTGGTGACATAGCCAAGGATAGAGGTGTTGCCATTAACATGTTATTTTTTTATTAAGTAATTACATAAATAATTTCTGCTATATTTTCTTGAGAAGTAATATAAATCAACAGAAATAATTAAAATTTATATAAGCAGGTAGAAAACAATAAAAAATTTTCAGGTAAAACTAGGGACAAAAACCTGAGTAGGAAAAAAAACTATTTCAACACCTAATTTTCTTTAGTCTTGGGGTAAAAAATAAGTTTCCTAAAAGTGACTGTTCTTAAATATTTATACAGCTGGTTAACCACTTTCCTTGGTAATACTGTATTGGAGTAGATGGCTAACACCAGAAGGAGTTGTTTGATTTCCTTCAGTTTTTCCACAGATGTTCTTTGGGTGATAGTAAGTAATAAAAATAATAAGACAACTTTTTTTTTAATTCTAGGCATTTTTTTTTTCACAATCTGCAATCATAAATCACCTGAAGTGGACAGGCTAAGAAGAATGAGGGAAATTACAGGGTAAAACATGGTGAAAACTGATCCATTACGCTAAAATGTCTCTACATGCTTTGTACGCAAAGAAATTTATTAATTACCGTAGTCATTCTCCGAAAAATCTGCCGTTGGCAGTGCGTGTTGTTGTCTGCTCTTTATTTGTTTACGTGCAACAACTGACCCGCTCAGTCCAAGCATACTCTCACGTCCACAAAAAATTTTAAATTATGCCAAATGGCAGAGGGTCCTGGGGGGAACAAAGCTCCCCAGCTAGGGAGTTAGGTAAGGTTAGGTAGGATTCTTTGGTTGGCGAAGTTCTATTAGGTTCCATTAAATGTCACCTATTTTAAAATACTTATTATATGTAATAATAAGAACATCTGGGGAAAAAATTAAACGAAATTGAACAACACCTTCTGGTGTAAGCCATATCCTCCAGGATTATTGCCATCTGCTCCAGGATTACCCTTTCCTGAAGTGTTACCTCAGTTTATGTTGAAGTTCATAAGTAGTTTTCAAATTCATATTTTCCTTGTTTGCACATGGTATATCTATTAACATTAAACATTTTGGTGATGGTTCCATTAAAATATCACCAGGAATAAGACTGCAGGACCTATCAAAACATTAACCTAATTTTTTTCCTTATTGAGTCCATTTGGGCTCATTTACTTATATTGCGCCTTCAAGTTCAAAACTACTGCACACAAAAAACATAATACAGTACGTCCTTTCAAACACGTACATAACAAGTGCCAAGGATCTAAGGCTTACCATAGTCCGTGATAAACTGCCCTAAACACCTGCTTGAAGCTACCAAAGAACAGACTCACTACGACTCACCAACAAGAGATTTTGCGAAATATTTTGATTACAGGTACACAACAACACCAAGTAAATACACCCTAAGTAAATCTATTAGGATACAAACAAATTCAATAAAAATACAGTTCTAGTACATACCTGATACTTGTACTAGGTGAGAGTAAGCTGTAGTACTGCTGCCCTCATAGTGCTGTTTACACCTGCACCATCAGCTGAATGTGACGTATCCTCCACCAGGGAACTCTTAGATAAACCTCCCCTTCTAAACATCTATATGCAGTGTTAACAATTATTTTAATACATATTTATATTTTAATCACCTTTTGTTGTTTAAATTTGTTAATTATTGGACATTTCTCTATTTTCCCGTCTAAATATCCAAGGAAGGAAAACTCGACGCATGTAATGTAATTGTTTTTATCATGATAATTGTTTAATTTTTGATTGATAATTGAATATAAAATATAATACAATTAGAAATAACACACCATAATGTACATAACTCATAAAATAAAAAGTGATTTGCGGAAAAAAATGATAAGCATGATAAAAGACAGGGAGGCGTTGACGTGACGTTATTATTACTGCACTTCAATATTCACTCAAAGGACTTTCAAGTGCGCCATAAGGTTAGTAACTACACCAAGCTAGTCTTGCCAAGCACAATAACCATTTAGCATATCTACAGATGAATTTTATCTTGGCGCTACTTTTATTTATTACATGTATGATTAATGATATAGTAAATAAAAGTTATGCCTCGTCTGTCCTACTACCAAGGAGAGTTGCTTGTTGACTAGTTATTACTTTTACTATATGATAAAATCTAATTAAACTCATCTTATATACTTTATTGCAGAATTATGTATTTTCCAGTAAGTTTGTAAAGCACCAGTTTCCCCGGTGTGTCAACAATAGAGACATCTGTATTATAATATAAAAAATCGCTACTAATACAGTAGTTTTACTTTTCACGTTTATGCAATTATTTTCCTCTTATTTTAAATGCATTATCGTAAGTGAAATTTAAAAAAGTACATCAGATAGCCGATATATTATGTACTAAATGTACGGTCACGGCCAAAAGTAATCAATGATGATTACTAATCATCTATACCTCTTACCACTATAGTGTCATATCCGCGAGCAGCTGGAGGCCTTAGTACAAGCTGGGTCACAAGAGGATGGGGGAGGTATTGATGGGGGGAAAGCTGGGGTGGCACACCTGGGTAGGAGGGTGTGCACAAGTCAGGGGCTACATTATAATAATCATAATCTAAGGGTCCTTATCTCATGCCCTTTCAAGCATGTAAACCTAAGATAATATAGGGAAAAGAAACTTACAACCATCCTTCCATTCCTTTTATCATGCATTTCCGTTATTTTCAATCCCCTCCCCCCCCCCTGATGAATAATGTGCCTTGCATACTGTAGTGGATATTTTCCCTACAACTGCAACTGCCGTTTGTTGCTGACGAGCCACTCCACTTCGAATTCCCCAGCCTACGCCTCGTGGTCTAAGGTCGGCTACTAGCGCCGCCTAACAAAGCGGAGGTCAACTAACAAGCCACGCCGACCTCCGCAATATAAGACCTCACCTCGCTGTGACCTGCCCCTTCTACCAACAGCCACGCAGCAAACAACACCTCCTCTGAGCACGCTCCCGAACCAGCTCTCTACTCCACGCTGCCACTTCCCAACACCAAGCTGCACTATACATCCAATACAGTATATATAGAGCACACATTGTGAGTTTCCTTTCTCCAACCCATCCTGAGTGTGAGACCACATCTCGAAACCCCACAATATCAAGATAATTAATTCACATCAATGAAATATTTTTATTTCTTTATTAGTAGGAGAATGATAAGCATTGCTATTTTCAATAACATTTATTATTCCCAGATCAACGCAGAAAAACTTTTGCAAAGTACAGAATACACGTTTACACCGTCCAAACACCATCTGTTATCACTCTTTTGTACTCTTCTTGTTACGATACTTAAATTTTTCTATATCTATTGCATTATCACAATCCATCATGATTATAAAACTTTAATGATGGTTCAGAGGGAGAGCACTAATCATAGCCATCATGGTTTTGTCAAATCTGCCATCCAACATGTACATAATAACTAAATTCATCAGTTGCTTCCTCTATCTCCTGTAAAAGTAATCATTAATAGCTAACACAAGAGTTGATGCCATCATAACTATTTCAGGGTAATCTTTCAACTCCTGATTACTGTGGAGACGAGGGGAGCCAACCAGGGGTAAAAGATCGACGTTCATTGGTCACATATTGAAGGAGACCGACACTCACTAGTCACTTCTTGAAGGAGACCGACACCCATTGGTCACTTTATTGTTGGACATCTATCATCAGCCAATCACCATGTTTATGTCTACAGGAGCTAAGAATGCAATTTATTTATAGACATGAATTCATTTGAACAATACAGAAGATTGCCATATAATATACCCCTCCCCAACTCGTGGGTATATTGTGTAACATTTAAAAAACAATCCTGGTCTTACAAACTGACCATGAAAGATATAAATAGGAAATAGATACATGTCCTTACCACAGGTTGGCAACACTGGCCAGGAACTCGAAAATTTTTGTGGTGGTGTGTGACAGTAGAACCGAGGCAAACAGCACTTATTTGTAGGCAGTACAAGGTACAGGACACTTGTTTTACTATTTACATGATTAACAATCATTACTACTACCGTAATCAATCACATTTCTAGACTTGTGCTTGGGGGTTGGGTAGAGAAACACATGGTGAAGCAAGTCAAGTCCAAAGGCGAGATTTCTACATCAAAAAATCCGAGAAGTTTGGGAGGCTCGTGTGTGAAAGATAAATACCTTTTTGGCAACATAATCTAGTCAAGTCGGCACAATCAAAATGTCATATGACGTGCTCCAAAGCTCTACAGATGCACATCATATGGCATGAGCCAAAGCCTGGTTAAACATGTGATAGGACCTGTGTAGAAAAAACATGTGAATTTATTCTTGAAAAAGTTTCCCCCCAAAAGATAAAATGAATATGTATCCTCAATTACTTGTTTCATTCTAGTGCCAAAGCTAATACCTGTACAGTATTGTTTGTTTGTTTGTGTGGTGCAGGTGACACATTATAGGCACTATGTAAATGTAAAAATGCACACAAAAATATACATACGTTACTGTATATAGGAAAAATATACAACAGAGCAGGTTTGCTTAAGATCTTCAGGTAACTCCAGGAGAATTAACCCAGAATCTAAGTGTTCACTTTCATCTAGGGCCCTGACGAGTAATTATCTATCCTCATGTATGCCATTGTCAGTTAAACCTTCTCCACCTCTCAGGAAGCAAGATACCACGATCCATTGGCATAAGAGCCAAGAGCATTACCAACTGAGCCAAGATGAACCCAGAACTCCCAAATAATGAATAATTACTGACTTTTCTAAAGACTATTTTCTTTCCTGTTTTGATGACAAACTGTAAAATAATCTATTCTTCCATTTTAATTTAATCCCCTCAGTTTACTTCTCTACAGTACTGTATTTGATGCTCAGGGGGTCAGACTGTATAAGCAGGGTAGCTTACTATGTATGAAAGGTTACAAAATATGCATTTGGTCTTTTTTTTTCTTTAATGTTAACCACAATGTTTAGATGATACCAATCTTGTTAGCAACATCAAGAGCATCATAGTCGGGTGCAAGCTTCACGTATGCCTTCTTCAGTCCATCAGGTCGGTGGAGTGTGTTCACACGTGCAGCATCAATCTCATAGAGCTAGAATGAAAACAGTTTACTGTGAAGATTCCAAAAATATCAAGTGTACCTCTCTAACACACACACACACGTGCCTTCAATTATAGATACAATGCACTCTGTATTGTATTCAAGACGAAATACTCTAGTTAGACAGTTCGATTAACGAATTACCTCCCATAAGGATCTTCAATTCGGTTAATGAACAAAACTTTGATTAACGAAATCCTTACGACAAACACGTTTTGTTGTGAGCATCAGCTGATGGGCTAGTCTGCCAATTCAGTAATCTGTTCTGTGTTTACATTCGTTTCCAGTGGAGAAAATATCAAGAAAGTTGTGCTCTTTAATAATTTTGCATTTTTTATATTAAAATTATTACTAGTCATTTTAAAATTTAGTTAACATATTGATGATATATGCAGTACAGGGGACTAGTCTTTTGTGCGCCCATCAGTCAGTTTGGCTTTGTTTACAGTGGAGTGAACATCGATTTTGTTGGTGTCTTGAATATTTTTGCATTTTTACATTAAAATTATTGGCCATTCTGATATTTAGTTAACATATTGATAATAATATATAGAACAGCGCAGTGTTGATTTAAATAAAATAATCTTGAATTACACCCAGTGAACTTAAAATTTTATTGGTGAAATTACTGCATCAAGCATGGGTCCCTTGAAAGGTGTTTCTCCCCCATCCCCACTTCCTTCTCTTCTCTCTTCTCCTCCACCCCCACTTCTAATTCCTATCATCATCAACCAGGAACCTTCTACATACACACCTCATTGTCAACTACTGTGGTCCCTCGGTTAACAAGCGCAATTCCCTCCAGGAGGTTGCTCGTTAACCGAAACCATTGTTTCAATGGGTTTTTGGGTAATTGGTTCCAGCTCACTGAAAATTGCCTTAAGTCAACAAAAAAGGTAGTAAAGTACACTTACTTTGAGGTGTGTATGTAGAAGGCTCCTGGATGATGATGACGGGAATTAGAATGGGGGTGGGGGAGAAGGGAGAAGAGAAGGCATTGGGGTGGTGAAAAGTCACCCCATGGTGCCATTTCACCCATAAACTTTTAGTTCTCTTGGTGTAATTCAAGATTATTTTCTTTAAATCAACACTGCACTGCATTATATATTGTCAATATGTAATATAAATTTCAAAATGACCAATAATTTGACTGGAAACAGAAAAAAAGCATTTATGTTGAAGAGAGTCTGAAGCAAGATGTTACCTGCACTAAAAAGACACAGACTGATGCCTGTATGGTGTGTTGACAGGCTGTTTGGCGTACTAAAAACTAGTTTCCCTGTACTTAAATTATGTTAAATAATTGTTAAAATTACTAAAAACTTTAATATAAGACTTTTAAAATTATTGAATAGTTCAAACTTCTTGATATTTACTAAAATAGCAAGGAATTTAAGCCCTAGAACCGATTACAGTATTGGCGGACTAATATGACAGCAAGTGTGCAAGCGAAAACATGTTGAGGGGCACTCGTAAGGAATTCGTTAATCGAGGGAATGCTCGTTAACCGAAGTTAAGAATCTTATGGTAGGTAATTCGTTAACCAAGGGATCACTGTATAGTACATTTATAGGGAATCTCTTAATATATTAAGTTACATATGTAGTCTCGTTCAAGATTATTCGAACACTGCTGGAGACAGCTGGCAACTCAAGGCAGTTTGTTTACTATAGTACGTAGTATAATATAATACGAAACAACAAAGCCCAACCATTAAATTAAGCAACAGGGAACTAAGTAACCAATCACAGATCCCTTTTACATTTATTCATAATTTTTACTACGTACTATTGTCAACAAACGGCCTTAAGTTGCCAGCTGTCTCCAACAGTGTTTGAAGAATCTTGAACGGGACTGTACCTTACTAAAATATACTTAAATGAACTCCATCTTTCCTTTTATTTCATGACATTTCACTAACTGGCCACAAAAAACATAAATTACTGTTATGTAAATTAAGTTCAGTTACTCACCTTCTTGACTGCACTCTTGATGTGGTACTTGTTCGCAAGACGATCAACAATGAAGACCAGGGTGTTGTTATCTTCAATCTTTTTCATGGCTGATTCAGTGGTCAGGGGATACTTGATTATGTTAAAGGAATCCAACCTGGTAAAAATAAAAACTTATGATAAAAAATTATCTTCACTTCAATCAAATTAAAATATTTCCTGACCTTTCTTAACTAATTTTCTTTGGCCTACATATAATCAACATTACCAAATATCACCTACAAATTTACTACCAAATATCTTGTACTCCTTTCGAGTTTCAGGTGAATCAAAGGTTATGTAAATCACAAAAGGGGAAGAGATGGGGGGAGAGGAGTGCAATGCAGGTGTAGAAAGCAAAAATACTCTACAGAAACATACCTTCAAACATGCCCTGAACTTGCTTTTTAGAAATTAACATTTAACCTGTTTACCAACTCAAATCATTCTCTTCCATTTCCCTTTCAGTGGCATTGTGGGGATGTTTGGCCCATCTTCCCATTCTCAACCTACCCCCTTTCACTCATACTTTTTAACTTGTATGTAACAAGGCAATTCAATCTACCAGTTACTGTATCTGAACTCACTATACTGTCATGTGTATCTGATGTATGAAAGACAATTCCTGGTTAAGTAAGTAATAATGCTAAGCATGAAGAAAGGCAATTAATCCAAAAGAAAAGGATTTTGTGGTGAATGGAAGCATTTTTTCCCATTTGACTTCAATTTGAACTCATGGTCTTATGAAAATGTAAATATCAAATTGGCATACCACACACCCAGAAAAAAGTTACCAATACAGTATTAAGAAAGCTAATTTACATTGATGAATGTTTCCTCCTTTTTAAAATTAAAAAGTACTGTATTTAATTCTCACTGGATATGAAGGCAATGCCAATTCCAATTATTTATTTCCTATTTTACATGTCAAACTCTTTCATCCTGCACATATGGTTTGGTAAGTATTCAGGGATAGCATCAGTTTAATTAAATTTTTTATTTTTTATTTTAACTTAATAAACAAAAAACAATACATACAGCCATTTCCTCATCAACAAATATCCTCCAGCCTTGATATTATTTTTTATACAAGGAAATACTTTCAATGTTTCTATAGCCAACTTACTTGCTCTTGCGGGGTACAGAGCGGCGAGGGTATTTGGGGCGACGCTGAATTCTCAGGGTCTTGGGGCGACGGAAACGAACACAGGTTCTGATTTTCTTTACACGTGTTCCATGCGTTCCCTTGACAACCTACCAAAAAAACAATCTTGTATATATTCATTTGTCATATAAAGTACATTATTTCATATAGAATTATGGAAATGCTTTCACATCTTTTCAAATTTTACTTTAAAACTAAACTAATGAGCTGAAATAAGAAACTTGCTCAAAAGTCCAGGGCCATATAATAAATGACCATCATCAAACTGGTTAATTCAATCTCAGGTCAATAAAATAAAACACTCCTTATCACCTGGTAAGTTCAGGTTAAATTTTAAACACAGACAAAATACAACTCTCAACTCCACGAGCTTGAGATCAAGTAAACTGTAGCTGCCAAATTGCTGTAAAGTGGGTTAAAAGTTAGAGGAAGAAATGTTAGATTTATCTGAACATAAGGAGAATAAAGGGGAAAGTAAAGTGCATGTTTTGGAGGAACATTACAAAGCATGTGATTTGAAACGAGGTAAATATAATGTCATGAGAAAAATTTTATGGCTACCACATTGGTAAATAAATATAAAACTGCAAAATGCAAATGAACAAAATAAAGCAGTAATACAAGCAACCACTGCACCTGCCAGCTAAAGAGGACCCACCATTATTAAACTCAAAGATTTAACTTACCTTCAGCGAGACTTTCATAGCTTTCCTAACAGCTGGTTTGGAGAATTTGCCACCTTTCTTTAATTTTCTGTCCTTAGAGGCAGCAACAGTCAATTTCTTAACTCCAACTTTGGGACGACCAGCAACAGCCCCTTTTACTCCAGGTTTCTTGCCTACAGCCCCCTTGGCTCCAACTCCCTTTGCTCCTGGCTTCTTAGCAAGAGCTCCTTTGGCTCCAGGCTTTCCAACAGCTCCTTTGGCTCCAGGCTTTCCAGCAGCTCCTTTGGCTCCAGGCTTTGCAGCTGGTCCCTTTCCTGCTGGCCCCTTTGCTCCAGATTTCTTGGGTGCTGCCTTTTTAGTTGCTCCATCATTTGCAGGCTTCTTGGCTGCAGGTCCCTTAGCCCCAGCCCCTGCTGGTCTCTTAGCTCCTGTGGCAGGCTTAGCACCTGATGCTTTTGGTGCAGCTTTTTTGGCACCACCAGTGGCACCACCTGCTGGCTTTGAACCACCAGCGGCACCACCAGCTGGCTTTGAACCACCAGTGGCACCACCAGCTGGCTTCGCTCCAGCTGCTGGTTTAGCCCCAGCAGCTGGTTTAGCCCCAGCAGCTGGCTTTGCCCCAGCTGCTGGCTTTCCGCCAGCAGTAGGCTTTTTATCCTCTGAAATTAAAAAAATTAAATTAAAATCCTAAACTTTCATTTCATTTTCATAACTGGACTGGTCAAACCATGTATTAATGCTACTAAGACTAGGGTATTAACCCAAGAGACCCCTGAGTTAATTGTATATCATAACTACAGCTTTACACTCCAAACAGCCCTTATCCCCTAGTGTCTGGGGTCGCCCCTGGGTTCGGTGACCTGTGCCCGGGTGGGCAATTCCCCCATAAATTTTTTTTAACCTAACAGGAACATAAGAACATGTTTGAAGCTATCCAGCATAGTCGAGTTAATGATGATATGGGTTAGGTTAGAACATAAGAAAATAAGGAGTCTGCAATAGGACGGTTGGCCTGTGCATGGCAGCTCCTGTCGAGAGTTACTACCACTCTCTATCATCCATGAATCTATCCAGCCTCCTTTTGAAACTTTCCAGCGCTCCCGCACTTACTACAAAGTTGCTAAGCTTGTTCCACTCGTCCACCACCCTATTTGTGAACCAGTTCCTTCCTATCTCGAGAGCCCCAAGATTTCCCGGATTAGGTTAGATCAAAATCATTCTAAACACGTGAAAAACCGTCGGAAAAACATAGTGTGGATATCATAATACCAGGATGACCGAAACTAAACTTGTACCGAACTTAGGAAATATGCCTTCTGTAGTGGTGGTTGACAACAGTGGTAATCTCTAAGTCACACAATGTGAAAAGTTTAGATATGGTGTGGAAGATAATCAACTTTACAGCCAAGATTGATATCAATATATCGCGACTGGAGAAGTGTCGTGACCAGACACTCATACATCACTAGCTAAGGTGCGACAGGTGTAATCATCAGTTAAAAGCGATATTAAGATTTAGAAGAAAATGGGTCAATAATGGTTTGCAAATATTGTCGATAAATGGCCCAAACCACGTATACAAAATTACGTAGGATAGTTTCGAATACAAGTTGGACAAATAGATAAATGATAGTACCCTCACATGGGCCAATAGGTTAACTGTAGTTTCCCTTCTCATGTTATGGTTTCGCTAATTAACGCAATAATAATCCCAGATAATATAAAAGTAATCCCTTTCATATAATTGATGGTATTTGTATCACTCCCTATACACCACATGATCTCGCCCGCACGTGGGATGCCGCCAACACTCTCTTACTATTTTCTCATTAAATCATCTAATTTCCCGAGATTTAAAGCTTCCTGTAGCACGCGTATATATTGTTAAACACTACTATCACTTCAATTATCATTAAACAATTATCAACAAAGAATAATTCAACAAAGTATCCATCAACTCACTCTTTGGAGGCATCGCTTCTGTTGATGCACTGGAAAGGTCTGTTAGAGGAGGCGCATGGGAGAAATGGCCGACGACAAGTGAGCCTCGGGATGAGCAATGTTTCCTTTTTCATTAATTATACTCTATCAGCCCCTAATAAATTACTTTTGGCCTTTCTATCTTTTCTTTCTATATCATATTTTCCACTTGCCACTGAAAATTTGGGATTTCTACTGGATTTTTTATGGAAATACAGAAAACAATGAACTAATCCCATATATACAAATATTATATACAGCACAATAAACTTATAAAGATCCTGGAAAAAAAGGCAATAATGAAAGAGATATTAGAATTTTAAAGAATCTTTAATGACAACAGGAGGCTGCAGTGTTAGTGAATAATGAACTTATTAATTGGTTCAAAGACAGGGAGTAAGACAAGGCTGTGTTCTATCTTCAACATTGTATAATGTATATATTCCGAATTCTTAATAAGAGAAGTTATAAGTCATAATGAAGGACTAAAAGTTAATGGTAAAGTAATATAAAAAATTAACTCTACTACATTTGTTTATTACGTCAAAGGAAAGACACTACATATTTGAGGACAAAAGGCGCTGGAGTGGAATACAGAAAAACAAAGTTGCATTTCCGTGTTCTAGTATAATTAATACCTCAACTACGTGTGGTTGGTGACCTTGGGCCAATCCTACTTTTTTTATTAATTTATTGTTTATACTTCATGTAGTTCTTATAATGTTGGTATTTTCCTGTCATCCAGTTGTGTTAAATGTTCTTTTTATCGCTACTATACAGAAAGAAGTCTATTCATATTCTCCGACTTGAAATTGTTGGAACCAATTTTATTTAATGGTATCCAGGAAAACAAATATTATTACTATGTCCTATGGAATAAAATAAAGATTACTATTAACCAAAATAGGAAAATCAAAACATTAAAAAGGTAAATTTAAATAGACAGGAGCAAGGTGAATGTTTGTTTACCCTCATCAGCTGACACAGGATGTATCACTCACCAGCAGGAACTTGTGATGACTCCTTCATAGGCTATTAAATCAATTTGAAGTTGTTGTATAATCCCCGTCCATATATTACCACAACCTCATTAAAATGGGTAAGAAACACTAATATTTCCAAGTTACTGATGTCATCACAACACGGGAAATATCACTTACGTCGTAGGTGGTGTAATGATCCAGGGCTTCCTCGACCCCTTGGTTTAGTTCACTTCTTACCGCCTGCCAGTCCAACCAATACTAACCTCGCGCTGAAATGGGTAGGATTTTAATTTATGAGATAAACAATTATTATTCTTAAGTTATATAACGGTAAGTGTCTAGTAATTTGGATGTGAGGAAGAAATAATGTACCAGAGGTGTACTTGTTGGGAGTTTAGTTCACGTGTCAAAGTTTTGTGTGAGAGTAGCTGTCTAAAACGGTGTTGTGTGAAGGTGTTGGTCCTCCTCTGAAATAAAATACTAGTAAATTCGAATTTTCATTTAGTTGTGAGCCAGACAGCGGTAAAAAAATAAGAAATGAAAGTGTTAGAAATGTGATATGCATACTGAAGGTAGGGATGGCTAGCAGAGACCCCACAACGGAAGAAAAATGAGAGTAAAATATGAAATATTATATTAATAGCTCTGCTATTTGTAAAGGTTTCAAGAAAGTAATGTATCCTGAACAGAGAACTTTCATAGAGAAAACCTTCTTTTAAGGGTAGTAGGCAGCTATCAAACAGGGAGGTACTGAAGCGGTGAACGGAAATAAAGTCACAGGGAAAAAAGTCAAAATTTGGGACAGGAAAAGTGACAGTAAAAAAGTAATTTGATTAAAATACCATTAACAATTAAAATAATAAAATTGGTTTGGTTATTTTTTTTTTTTTAGGGGGATTAACCCACCCGGGCACAGGTCAATGACCCAAATCGGGGCCTGGGGGCGAAAATATATAATAATGATAATAATAATAATATTAATAAAGAACCATAAATAAATGCAAAATAAAAAAAAGATCAGTAGTGAGAAACAATTTATGTACTATGTTGTGTTGTCAAAGTAAGAGCAACAATTGAGACCCTGCAATTGTGTGTAAATGAGGCAGAAAGTTAGATCAGCAACCTGGGACTTGGTCACAATTTTTGTGATGCCATATGGCAGCAGGGTCTACCATTAGACAACACATTATGCTTCCAATATCTTCCCAGGCGGTAGTACCTCCCTGATTGATAGCTGCCTACTACCTACGGGTTAAGTTGGGATACTGTAACATATATATACAATATTTTCTTCCAGTACACTATTACCCTTATCAGATTATTAACCATCCAGGGAGTCAGTCTGTTCTTTGTTACGACTATGATTGTTCATAGTTAGAAGAAACTTATTCCTTACTTCAAGAAAATCGTAAATAAGTATGAGGCATTAAATTTTTTCTTTAATAACAATAATTATACGTAATACATTAATGGACTTCCAACCACCTTGTTCGTGTGATTTAATTTTGCCTCGTAGTCCATTGTTAAAATATAAATGTGTTCCAGCGAGCGATCCATGCATACAACCACTTCTAGTTACTACTATCATCATCATTTTATGGCCATTTTCAATGCTTGTGTGAGTTTGCTGCGGGTACATGATAACGGCTCTACAGGTTGCATGGTCTCCTGCAGTCTCTTGTGTCAGGTTGTCTGTTTCTCTCTCCATCCATGCATGACAGCTCTGGTTATGCAGTAGGTTTACTAAATGTAATCAGATTTTAACTAAACTTGTGAAGAAGCAGGACCTGTACAGTATATCCTTAAGCCCTCGAAGGAGTTCAAATTTCAACAAAGTGTAACCAAATTTTACGGTTACAGCCTCTGAACACCAGAAAAAAATATGATTGTGTTGATAATGGGTTTACCCTCGCTATTGTATTATTATTATTAATATATCTATTATTATCATATTGTTATTTCTGCTCCTATTGTTATTACCACCAGGTTGCTGCAAATGTTGCTGCTTTACTCTGCTGGTGATAATCATCATCGTTGCTATTAGCTCGGGCCTCCTTACAGCCTTCTTCCCATATCCGAGCCATGCATCTTGCCGCGTAGATTGGTAAAGTTTAAGTCTCTATTGCACTTATTTTCATATTATTTTTATTGGAACACATTAGAAAATGCTCACATTAAAAGTAGAGGGTACAGTAGAATATAAAAGATTGTGCAGTAGTTGGTAAATAACTCACTAAAAACACCTTGTACAGTACCAGTTAGATATATCAGTACTGTAGTACTATATTTTATTTTCTCACTTCATTAACGTGAAACATTATTTGTTTTAGTATTTTGCTTGTTACATTCACTTGCTTCCGTTAGCACCAAAAATTAGGCTGTTTAGTAATTATTAGTGTACAGTATACGGGTATCCCTTGAAATAATGAAGTTTGAGTTACGTAAATTCATGTTAACAAAATCTAAAAACTATGGAGCAAGCATTAAGGTATAGAAGAAAAATTTATGCTATTGCCATCTTGGCTGACAGGGATGGTACAGGAAGGCTGACACAGAACTTGCTCACAGTGTTAGATCTTTTTGGACAAATTAGGTCTGACTTTCTATGAGTGAAAAATGTTAATTAATCAATATATTTTGATGTAAGGAAAAGTTACAGTAAGATCCTGCTGAATGAGTAACTGATACTGATCACATAATTATGCAGTATCTTCCATCCCAGTTTTTGTAGTTCTCATAAGGAATACAGTCCTGTACAACAAATCTGATTTCATCACTTTTCACAGACTGGGGTCTGCCCCAGTTAGTCTGGTGTATTGAAATATTACTGCATATAATTATATAATGAAAGTCAATGGGAAAATGCATTTTGAGTTACAGTTAACATCTCAGGAACATATCCCTTTCATAACTTGAAGGATACTTGTAAATTTATCTACTGTATACTGTATATTACTTTTATTTATTTTTTTATTTACTGGTATTTATTTATTTATTTATTTACTGTATTTATGTTCTGATGTCCCCATCAGGATATTTGGCAAGCCCTGCTCTGATGTAAAATCTACACTTATTAGTCAGATGAAAGCCTGGAGTCATGATGACTGTTCTCTCAAGCAACAGTGTAACTATGAGGTAAGGCATTCATGTTTTTTTAGAGTTTGTATGATTAAATTATCACTAGAACAGATGTGCTGCAGTGGACCCTGGACCTAATCCTGAATACTGTCATCAAGAAGATTACAGTATCCCTAATCCCCACCCTTCTTCAACTCAGGAGACAGGTAATGTGACCTGATACCTGTGTTCTATGTCTTTCTCCCTTGCTTTGTAGTGTTAGTTGGCTGAAGAAGGTCTTAGTATTTGGACTGAAATATACTAGCTCCAAGATTATGTCTTTTAATTCTCCAATGTGGGTATTTATGCCATTTATCGGTGTAACCATTACACTTTCAGAATATCGACTACATATTATCAGCTCACCTTGCAATGTGTTACATTTATATATTACTGTATTATTTACTTTATTATTACTGCATGTACATTTAAACAATTATTTGTTTGCCTAGTACAATAATTATAAATATAATATTTTATGTGGAATAATGAAGAACAGTCTTCGGAACGATCCGTACAAAGTGCAAAAACTGAACAGAAAATGAATAAATAATCGAACACAAAAATTCGGAAATTGTCAAACAATGTCAAAATATTCCGAACTTGGTTAATTTGGATTTTCGATAATTCGAGTGACCCAGAGCACCTTTTTTGTTGAGTTAATGGAGGGTATAGTCATAGAGTAGAGTACTGTACAGTGTCTGTCAGCCAAAAATGTACTTTACCAAATACAGTAATGCATTTTACAAAAGGCTTGAACATTCTAAACATGAAATTTAAGACTACAGAACAATTCTCTTTTATTAAGTCTTTTCTCATACTGTACTGTAGTATGTGAGAGGAAATGAGAAATGAAACAATCAAGCAACTGGTTCAGTGACTGTGTGTGGTAGTGTGAGTGATGAGTGTAATTATCTTAACATGAGTTTGAGGAGTAGGTTATGTGGTGATTGTAGGAGAATGATGACATATTGAAAGCTTATTTGTAGACATAATAACATTGAAATTTTGTTAGAGAAGAATGAAGTAAGTTAGTGTACAGGTACTTGCAGAAATAATAATGCTGTATATCCAAACTGACACAACTACTGTACTATGGTTTATTACATGCCTTCATTGCGCACATGTTCATGATACGTAGTACAGTACAGTATAGTCTGCATTTACGCAGTCAATTGAATCCGTGGAGGTCCGCGTAATACGAGAAACGCGTAAACGAAATAACAGAACATATGTGATTAATTGAAATAGAGACTGGGCCGACTCCCAAACTCCACATTTTCCGACACAATACGTACCTTTTAGTAAAAATAACATCATAATTTTATGATGGTATTGACACACACATAATATCTAAATAAAAAACTACACTACTGTACAAATCTAAAGGTGTTTAACACTTACGTTAGTAGAAGAGATGGGTCGGCACACGTGGATGGCGGCTGGTTCCGAGGCTGAGGGCAGATTAGTGGCCCTCCGGTGAATCACTATCACTATTCACAGAGGTTTGCAGGGCCTCCCTGACAAACCCCTCAAATTCCATATCCTCACTGTCACTATCACTGACTTGGGCTGGCTGTGGTTGTGGTGGGTTGCGGGCGAAGAAGTCCATAATACTACGTTGACGACTAGCATTGATGTTGTCGTGATACATCTGGACATACAGCTCCATAATTTTCGACAGAAGGTTATTAGACACTTCATACCGATGTTTGACTGTGTCTTTGTCAAGGATGAGCTTGATTTTCTCCCCCAACTCGATGATTTCCTTCACATAACCATGGCTTGGTCCAGGTAGTTCAAGGTTTCTGGGGGTTGGTGGGGGTCCAGCGGAAGCCATTGTGAGGGGAATAGCGGGCACAAGAGAGAACAGTATACGCGGAGAACTGAGAACAATGAGACTGGCCCGGTTAGGTCAGCGACTTCTTCCCTCTGGTGGCAGGGCACGTCATGTTACATTAGACCAATCACAGCTAGCGGTGGAGGGAGGTAAGGTTGCGTGGCCCAATCACAGTCCGATACGTCATATGACGTCAGCGATAACGTAAGAGCGACCTAATGCGCACCCTCCAGGCGCCGCTTCCCGCGTAAATGATGGAATGAACCGCGTAACTGAAAATTTTCATTCTGGCAAGGTGCCATGTAAATGACCAAACTCGTAAACCAAATCCGCGTATATGCAGACTACTGTATACTGTACAGTATCTACTTTTTGTAAGTATCCATTTTACAGAAGCTTCTTGGTCCCACACTTTTCAGTTGACAAATACTGTACTGTAAAGGAAAATTATGCACCGGAATGATGAAAAATATATATGGCATGATAACATGTAATTGAGGTTTATAGTTTTATACAGTACATGTAGTGTAGTCCTGGTTCAAGTTAATGGAATGTTAACAGTACTTCACAATTTACCCAACAGTACTTGGGTGAGGAGGGAAGTACCATCCGTGGCCTTCACGTAACACCCTGGATATCTTTTGTTGACAAAATAAATTTCACATTCAATGCTGCTTCTGGTGGTAACTGTTATGTGCAGGTAAGACATTCTGTTTACTATAGTACATTAATTAATTTTCTGTTTCCAGTTATAGATTCTGTTCATTTTTCCAAACTTTGAAGCCTTTCAATATTACAATACAGGGTGATTAGAATTGACAACACTCACTCACTCCCATTATTTTTTGTCATTCATTCATTTTCACTGTAGTACAGTAATATATATGTTCTGCAGAGTTACACTAAATCTTTGTAAATGTTTGTTTGTTCTCTTATGCATGGCTATAGTTTTAATAACAGAGCTAAAATTTGGAATGGAGATGTGCATGCACCCCAGAACTGTTCAGATGGTGGAGTTATGGTAGGTTGACCTCACTGTCAACACCCCCCTACCAACCTCCAATTACATAACCCCCAAAAATGCCTCCTAACCAACCCAATTTACTTTATTTGTATTTACAGACCCCACTATGAATTAAAAAAATCATATTATAGTCCATATACCACTAAAAATGGGTATATATAACTGTCCCTCAAAAAATAAAAGTTATCAAAAAGGAAGCCCAACATGGACTGGTTCTAAGTCAGACATATTCACTAACACCAGACAAAATCATTTGGACATTATTTTTCTGCAATGCCATGAGCTGCATCTTCCCGATAGGTGCTAAAAGCCCATTAAGCTATTAATCCTTGCAATTGGTTTGACTGCCACTGATAAAGCATTTCATGTTTTTAATAGCTCAGTAGTTGGCTTTCAGATTCTTGCCTACATTATTTTCTTTTCTATCTTATTGGTAGAAAAGCATACTGTACTTAATTTTTTCACGATATTGGTCAATTTGTACCACACCACCTAGAACACCATCAAATAGAATCCACTTTAAAGAATTCAAGAATTTTTCAGCCATCCTGGGCCACGTGATTTGAACATTTTATTTTTTCCTGTATTATGAATTCCATTCCCTCCTCAGGCAGCTAGTGAGTCTGCTGCTGCATATGCCGTCATTGACTTTGGAGTAAACTACTGCAATCTTCGGAATTTAGTGATTGGATCCAAACTGGACGAGAATGATAGTTCCTATAAGGAAAATTCTACCAATGCAGTCTGCACAATGTACTCCATTGCACATTGTAATTTATATACATAGGACACTCTCATCATTTATATGTGAAAAGATCTAGTTCATGGTTAATGATATGGGGTGTAGAAAATATATCAATTTAAGTCAGTGTTTTGTAAATTAGGACTACTCAGTATTATTTGATGTTAACATTTTTAAATAGTGCAGTACTGGAATAAAGGAATTTTAATGAACAAAGGACTAAACCATAGGTATCAAACTTACCTATCAATTAAGCTGTGCACTCTCATGGTGTCCTTAGTAGCTGTCACAGTTAATAGAAGTTGATTGACTGTTGTTTGCTAATGGTCTTCCTAACGTATTGTCGAGTTCACCACTGTTTAGTGGTAGGTAAAAACACATTTTCCTTCTAAATAATTTGATTCAGCAATAAAGAAAGAATTCTGATGGTGAATTAAACAGTGTGTGCTGAAATCACATAGTACCCAGAAACCAATTAACTTCATTGAATCGTGACATGTTAAAGTTGTAAAAAATTGGCACGACTTAGTTGATAGGTTATTTTATATGTTGTACTGTACCCTTCAAGCTGCATCCATGAATGATACAGTGGTCCCTCGGTTAACGAGTTACCTTCCATAAGATTCTTAACTTCGGTTAACGAGCAATCCCTCGATTAATTCCTTACCATTTTAGCAAATATCAAGAAGTTTATACTATTCAATAATTTTAAAAGTTTAATATTAAATTTTTTACTCATTTTAACAATTATTGAACATAATTGAAGGTAATGAAACTAGTTTTATGCGTGCCATCCAGCCTCTCAACACACCATACAGGCGTCAGTCTTTGTATCTTTTCAGTGGAGGTAACATCTTGCTTGAGACTCTTCAACTAAATGCTTTTTTTCTGTTTTTGCAAGCAAATTATTGGTCATTTTGAAATTTATTTTACATATTGACAATATATAATGCTGTGCAGTGTTGATTTAAAGAAAATAATCTTGAATTGCACCAAGAGAACTAAAATTTTATGGGTGAAATGGCACCATGGGGTGACTTCCACCCCAATGCCTTCTCTTCTCCTTTCTCCACCTCCATTCTATTTCCCATCATCATCATCCAGGAGCCTTCTACATACACACCTCAAAGTAAGTGTACTTTTCTACCTTTTTTGTTGAATTTAGGCAATTTTCGGTGAGCTGGAACCAATTACCCAAAAACCCATTGAAACTGGTTTCGGTTAACGAGCAACCTTCTAGAACGGATTGTGCTCGTTAACCGAGGGACCACTGTACTGTATTGATTAAAGGTAAGTCTTTATTTCTTCAGTACTACTTGCCCAAATGTTAATTATACTTTCTTGACTCACATATCACACGCTTTTGACCCTTTGAGTATGGTGATGGTAACTTCTTGTCATTACCAACTGAAAAATAAAGACATTTGAATCTCCACCATAAAATCATGATTTATGTCATCAAATTTCAGGGGTTGGGGGGAGTAAACAGAGCTACATGGGTGGACACAGGGTTTGTGTTAGCCACCCTACCTCTGCCACCATATTTCTTATCCTTGTCTTTCAAATTCCCCAAAGGTTCAATACTGTAGTCAAATCTTGGGGAAAGTCACCATCTTCACTTATATCACTGTCACTGCACGGGAGCGTCAGTCTTGTCTACTAAATCAAATATAATGGTGTTATTTTCCTCCTGCGTGTGGCGCCGCACACGAGCAGAAGTGGTATGTCTTGTCTGAGCCATGTTTATGCCATTACAGTACTAGTGGCTAAATGGCTTACACCGCCTTGAGGCAGTTCCCATAAAGAAGCTCGACAAAAGCAAAGCATGGACATTTTTAAAATGGGCCAGCAAAAATTATAAATCAGTAGTTGTGGGATATGTCTGGTGCAGCGCTACCCTCTGTACTACACCTATTGTGGGATATGTCTGCAAACATGAGATAATAAGTTAATAATAACAGCTACAAAATATGTTTTATTTTAAAAATTTTTATGGGGTCTTCTTAATGGAATTGAAATATTGTACAGTCACGTTCAAGATTCTTCGAACACTGCTGGAGACAACTGGCAACTCAAGGCCGTTTGTTTACTATACTACGTAGTAAAAATTATGAATGAATGTAAAAGTGATCAGTGATGGTTACTTAGTTCCCTGATGCTTAATTAATGGTTGGGCTTTGTTGTTTCGCATTATATTATGCCTTTCTGCTAGTATATACTGTTAATTTGATTTTAAAATGGATAGAGCAATGAGCCAACCTATATGAATTTATATTTAGATAAATAAACATAAGTAAAAATCGGTAAGTATGTTAAAGAACATCATGCATCGGGCACAGCTGTGTGCAGGCTTTTTATGAGGTTGCCTGTTTATCATTAATTTATACTAATATTGTCTTCAAAGTTTAATCCCTTTCGGGTAATTAATCCAGTTGTACTAAACCAATGCTAAACAAAACTTCTTTCTAAAGACGCTGATTTCTTGCAACACAAACTGTTGTTTTACTTACCTGTGTGTGTGCATGTGGAGTGTGTGTGTGTGTGGTCAGTCTGTGTCTGTATTTAATAATGACGTTGTTCAATTGAAGGTGATGGTAATTAATCTTAGGAACCATCCGTCTGATGGTGTGAATTAGTACTGTAGCATATGCCTAATACTTTACAAGCCATTATCTAGCAATATCATTGTCATTCCAAGGCTATGAATATTGTAAGCAGCAAATGGCATTTCTTTCGTTGAGTGACTCTTTGCCCCCCACCAAATCCTTGTGTCGATTACGTCACGTTTAGTCTGGTGTCTTTAAAAAAAAAAAAATTTTTTTTTCCAAAAATGTGTATGATGTATTATAAATTTGTATCTTATTTATTTATTTATTCGTTTACTTTTTATAAATGCATAATAAATATAATATAACGCTGACGTTATTGGCGGGATGGTGGGGGAGACAGAGGTGTTGTCAGTGAACTAAGAGAGGAAACTAAGTAACCAATCACCGATCACTTTTACATTCATTCATAATTTTTACTACGTAGTATAGTAAACAAACGGCCTTGAGTTGCCAGCTGTCTCCAGCAGTGTTCGAAGAATCTTGAACATGACTCTACATCACCCTTTTGTAGTTGAATTAATTACTCATGTAAAGTAATTAATGATGAGAAGAGGTGCACCATTACCTAGGACAGTGTGGTGTATATCATGATAGAGTATATTAAAGTACTCATGGCTTCATTTATGTTTTATGATATTACAATATAGTAAGTAAGAGTATCACATTTCCAAGAAGTTTGCAGTACTGTGGATACAAGAAATGTAAGCAGTCTCCTCCTTTAAATACAGTACTGTGTGTATCACATATTCACATTATGCACTAATGGTCTTAGACTGTATTCTATTGTTCTTACACTTGTGTTTAAATACTTAGTCATTATAGGTACCTAGTAATAATTACTGTATTGACAGAGTGAAGAAATTTTATATGTAGTTTACTCATTGGTAGCTATTGACTATGAAACATGGCAACTCGTCTCATATCAAACAGCAAAAAGATTGTGGTGATGAAAATACCATGAAGAGGACTGCAGAACCATTTATTTTCCATTAATCATTAAAGAACATAATCTGTTAACCAAAACAAAACTCATCTTGGATTGATAGGAGAGGATAGTTTAGCATTGGGTCGACTTCTTAAGGGACAAATCCACAGGGAAACTACTAAATTAATTAAACCCTAGGTTGCAACCTTGATATTTATAATGTATTTTTGGGTATCGACTTCTTAAGGGACAAATCCACAGGGAAACTACTAAATTAATTAAACCCTAGGTTGCAACCTTGATATTTATAATGTATTTAGATTAATGCTACTTAACATCCAGCATAAGAGGTTCAGTGTTTCCATACTGTTTATTTTTTAAGTATTAATTTATACCAAAACTATGCATCAAGAAAAAACCTTTATCCATTTTAAGGAACTCATCAATTGGCTCAAAAGAAAAAAAATGGTTTAGCAGTCCTGTTAGTGACATTTTTCTCTCCATCTTGTTGTCAGACAAGTTCAAAAATAAATACTGTACTTGTTGTAATAAATAACCAAGTGTAGTTGTTAAATTAGTGAAGAGTTTATGAACATTATTAGATGCTTAGCTATTAATCCTTGTTGGTCTTCCATATGTAATTGTTACCTGCCTATTATGTATTTTTTTATCATGTCAGCTTTCACTCAAGTTAAATGTTTATTACACTATTGGTATTATCATCTTACTGTATATCAGGGACAAAAATTATATTGCATTTGGTTATACTTTTTCACAAAAGTCAAGTTCATGAATAAGATACTGTACCCCTGGTGCTAATTTTAAAATTATGTAGACTTTAAATGACAGGAATACCTCACTACTTGTACTGTTATTACAGTAGTGTACCATTTTCAATAATAAATACTGTATAGTATACAGTACATTTACTTTCTTACCAAAATATACAAAATTATTACAGTATATTTGGACTTACAAAATAGTATCTATTCATGTAACTTTGCTGATATTTACAAGAAGTCCTGTACTGTTATTATTTCTTTAAACATAGTTTACAGTTTGGTGCTATACATTATTTTGAACATAATGCAGATACGTTTTACATCATAAGATGTTAGATGCAAATTTGGAAGGAATTATATATATATATATATATATATATATATATATATATATATATATATATATATATATATATATATATATATATATATATATATATATATATACTGTTCACTGCAGTATTGTGTTTTATAAATACTGTATGTGAAACCTGCATAAATATTGTCTTTATTTGATAGAGCCTGTGTTATAGAGGCAGGTTACAACCGAAACTCAGGAGTTTTTCATTCACATATAGAAATGGAAAAAGTATAGTTTATAATGTCTTGCATGGTCACAAGGCAAAATTGTTTTCAAAATATAGGATATTCTCTAGATTCTTCATACACATGTGATGTTAGTGAAATCAAGTTTTCTGATTTGTAATTCTCATAAATTAAAATTCTAATAAATATTAATGTAAACTACTGTACTTGTAAATTTTGTGTTCAGTACAGTGTGAAGTATGGAAACTATACAGCTGAAAAAGCAGTAAAACAACGGTGTGGTAATTGTAAAGAGCCTGAAAATATCAGAATAATTATTGTATCATCTTGCCTTTGATAAGATTTTTTTTTTTTTTTGTACAGCTACAAAGTTAAAAGTGAGCTCATAAATTGAGTTAGCTATCCTAGGATGAAATTTGAGGCTATGTTTTTTAAAACTTTACTAGGCAGTTATATTCATTGTGTTAGATATCATAAGTTCACAATAAGCTTAATGCTAATAAGACAGATTCCTCTATTCTTTAATACAGTACAGGGTATATTGAAGAGTAAACTTGACTTAAGGCCTACCAACTAAGCTCTGCCCACTTTGATGATCATTAACACCAGTTACAATTGATATTACCGTACAGTACAGTAGTTGATTGGTAGCTTAGTAAATTACATCACCATACTGTACAGGTATTGGCAAACTCACTGCCATAGTAGTACTATGATAGTACTCATAAACCGGTCAACTTTTAAGAACTATGACAGTTGCTCAGTATATCAAGAGGGGGGCAGACGTAGTCAACAAAATTTTGCTTTTGACATATCAGCCCTGTAACTGTAAGATAGCTACGTTCAGTGTCAGAATGTTTTAGGTTTTGTTTTTACAGATACGTGTACAGTATTGCATTTTAATGTTATGATTTAGGAAAAGTAGCAGCAATTATGGAAGAATTTACCACATTACAGTATATTGAACCTAGAGACCTGTATTCTGAAAATTTGGTGTTGGCCAATCCGTAATAATCCTTAGTATTTGTTATAGTCACAATATACTACTCTGTATACTTAAGTTATAGGACTGACCTGCAAATGTTGGATTCATATAAAGGACAGCCCTGCTTAATATAGCTATGGAACTTTTGTAGTTAAAATCATGCTTCATGTTCAAGTCTTTACATACTACACAAATTTTTTTTTATAATGACTACCATTTTACATGCATCTTATTAAGCTTCATTGAAACTTTTCCACTGACACTGTGCAAACTCATGTAACAAATTTACCAGTTTCATTGGGGTTTAACCCTACCAAAATATGCCCTCCATTAAAGAAAATTAATTTCAGATTATATTCTGTACAAAGTGCATAATATTGTTACCCATGATGGCTGAGAAAATCAGAGTTCTTTATTTTGAAACACTATCATATGAATGTCTTAATATTTGACCATCATAATGTAAATGTTCATGAAAAATCTATTTTGGCTATATGATTCCGTGAACTGTATCTGGCATTATAGGTGGTCATATTCATTTGCCTCAATTATTTTTAAGGGGGGTTTATTGTTTGGTAATACAGGTATCATTAAAACTCAAATTTTCAAAACATTTTTCACCTAATCTTAATCATTAGAATCTCCTAAGCAAATATATCCACTCCTGAACCCTATATATCTCACTTTGTGTTCCTCTTAAACTTCACAAGCTCTTATCTGGCACATTTACAATCATTTTCTTTATTTCCATTCCCTTCTTAAAAAAAAAAATTACTAACACCAATTAACACCTTCGTTATTATTATCCTTAATCATAGTATAGTACAGTACATACAGACATACCACAGTTTTAAGTTTTTGGTAAAAGGGATTAAACATATTGCTAGCTAAATGGATTGTCATTTTACTAGGATGTATTGTAACATTTATAATATAAGCTTTAAGGGGCCAATTCATATTTGAAGCATTGTGTGCATGTATGATGTGTCATAGTGTGTGGGGCCTCAAATTAGAGTCGTGTTAATTTTGAACCTCTGACCTGACCCTAGCTCAGAGTTTCAAAGTTAATAGGACACTGAATTTTGAGGTTGTACTCGCAATAAATCTCTCCATTACACACTCAGGCTCCAAAAACAGTGGCAATTGTGAACCCATGAAATGCCCCCTTAAAATGATGTGCTGTTAACTTTTTTCTTGCACAAACTTTCCTTTCATGCATCAGAACATTATCAAACAAAGTAAGTAAACATGATCATCGAACACATTTTCAAAGGTCATTTTTTTATACATTGCCCATTTTTGCTACTACTGTACTCTACAGTATTTAAGTGCAAACTAAATTTAGCTGGTTTCATTACAATTCAAGCGAAATGTTATTGTCAGGCACTTCTTTAATAAAAATATATATTTTGTAACTTTTAAATAAAAAAATTCTCAATGTAGTTTTTCCTTTTATTCCAACAATTTATTTTTACTGTCAAAGCTTTTCCTATTGTTTTCATCAAATGAAGTTTTTCTTTACATTATTAGATAATTGTCATTTCTCAGCATTTCATATGCAAAAGTATGACCCATTGGCATAACTACCCATTAGGGACAGTGTGAATATACTGCACAAGGAGGTAACATAGACCAGCACTGCAGTTAACTACCTTTATTCCTTCAACTGTAAAGTTTACGTGCCCATTTGCAGCTGGGTGGATTAGGAGTGCCCAGTATTGAACCACTAACCATTAAGACGGGAGGCAAGCATTGTATCCACTTGGTCGCCGCCACACATTTAGTATGTCACTTTAGCAAACCTTAGAAAAAAATATCAATTGTCTGCTTATGATAAGGATAAGATAGTACAAATTGCCAACTTAGGTAAGGATGTGTACCTAGAAAACTAAATATAAATAGGACAAACATAATTATGAAATTTTTCAATCAGACTAAGTGTTCCTGGTACAATTGGGGATATACACTGCTGGGGCAAACATTCAGACACCTTATCTGTACTATACACTGGTTTGCACCAAAGTAAAACCGAGTTGTAACAAAAATATTTGCAAAGGAATGTCACTCAAGGCTCTCACCTCTCGGACTTGCCACAGGTGCAGCTGAAGAGGGATTCAGTGGCTAGTGGTGTGGCATTGCTGGTTCAAATGCTCATCTGGCAGCAGTGTTGCTACATAATGTTTCTGGTGCATGCTCTGGATTTTTTAACACCCACTGTGGCAAAAACATTTTATTGGACAAGCACAACTTATAGTATAGTTCAAGTATCCCTCGCTTAATGAATGGGTTAGACGCCTTCATGGATAAGTCATTCGTTAAGTGAATTTTTGTATCTTGAATAAAAAAAAAATGTGAAAAATAGAATTTAGTTCCACAATAACAAGAAAACCCCAACATGGCAGTACTGTACCTCAATAACATAATTCAGTTCATGAGAAACAAAAAAACTACTTAACTATTCACCTAAAACCATTAAAGAAAAGCTAAATGAAAGTTAAACACAACCAATATTTACAAAAGATGAGACTAATACTGAATTAAGGAATAATTTGACAATGTCTTTTCCAATAACCTGCCACCCCTCTCTATACAGACACTCCCCGGGTTATGGATGGGTTCCGTTCGTGGAGGCTATCCGTAAGCCGAATTTTTCATAAACCAGAAGTGACTCTTCCATAGGCAATCATTGAACACAAGTAATACACATGTCTGTGCAGCATACTATACTATTAATGTACTATACCAACACGATACAATACTATGTTATTAAGTAAAAAGTAGCAACAGAGGCGTAGGAAAGAAAAATAGCTACAGTACAAAACTACAATTAAGTAACTGAAAAACTAGTGTACATTAAGTAATTCCATTTACCTTAAATCCCGGTGCTGACTTGCTCATCGACACTAAGTTTTCCATCTCACAAATAACATGTGGTCACTATTTTGTTATCACAGTAGATTTTTAAAGGCACTGAACCTTTCACGTGTTCCACTGTATGAACCTGTCCTTCACAATCATGTGTACAGTTGAGGTAACGAGACTAAATTCATGTAAGAGCGTGGCAATAGTTTTTCCTCCTTCATACTGCTTAATCCCTTTCATATACTGCTCTAGATCTATTACTTTACATTTATGAGCAGGTTCTGCACTCTCATTATCATATGGCTGCTTTCCAGTCATTGTGCAACACAATTATGGGTGATTTATGAAAGAAATTCGGAGATGATGCGTAGGGTACACACTGTAGCAATCTTAACAATTTGATTGAATGCAAAATGGCACCTTATGGGACACTTCACCAGTCGCCTTTTGCCTACTCTGCAGGTTTCTTGTACACTAATTAATGTCCGTAACAACGGATACTCGTCCACAACCCGAAAATGGACTTAGGGGAGTGTCCATAGTCAGAAATCCATAACCCAGGGAGTTTCTGTACCACTAAGTATCAATCTGCCCTAAAAATAAATTTTAAGAAAACAATTTGAAGCCAAATCAAAGCTAAGGTGCACACACCCTCTAAGATAAAGTCTGAGGTCCATCTCGGGGCCCATAAACTAATGGGTTTTAGATTGTCTATCGTACATATTTGGTACTGTACAGTAACTTTGAACATTTAAATTTATATTAACATCTTACTGTGAAATTGCTATAAAACACTTTTATTTTTGTTTGGGTTTCATGCCAGGTTAATATAATACTGGCAAACCTCTTACAGAACTCTAGTTGTATACTGTACTTGGAAAAAATAGAGCACTGTAAGAGATGAGTATAACATGGTTCCAATGGAGATGTGTTCACATTTGTGCCATTTCTTACTTATGAGTGAAATATTACGGCTTCATTGAGTATTGGTTATATTACCTTATTAACCCCGATACTGTAATTCATTTTATAATCAAAAGAATTTTTAATGGTGAACATAAAAAAATACAGTGTCATGTACTCACCAGTTGGCCATTTTTCCTATTCTTGCATGAAGCCCAACTGGCTCCATGTAAAGCACTCCTTGAACAAGTCATCTTGATTTTTGTAAATGAAGTAGTGGACTGGACAGAAACCCTCTTCTTACCTGCCTTCTCGAGAATAGTTAAAATGGTTCATGTAGCTATACCCAAGCTACCACCGTTATCAACTTGGTGCTCACTTGCCTCTACACATCTTATGACCTTTATTTTAATATCCATTTTGATGCTTTTCCTTTACTGTTGAGCCACATTACCAGCATTATCACTTGCAAGTCTTTCATCCAGAAATTATGAGTAAAAAATAATGTGAAACAAGTTAGTATAATGTGAATTAAAGCTCATTTGCAGATAACATTCAAAGCTGGCAGAGGCAGGTGCTGATTGGTTATACAGCAATCAGCATATGCCATTCTTATTCTCTGAAAAGAGGAGTTTTGTGTCATGTGGTCTCACACAGAACTTTTTGAATTATTTAATAGAATGTAATCAAAATAATTCTAGTAAAATTTCCTCCAGAACAAATAGCATTGTATGAAACAGCCTTCTCAGAGGAATGGCTATATTGGTTCATGAGGATGACACTAGTGTCAATTCTTTTACTTTCAAATGTTAAAACTGTCATAGACAATCACAGCCAGCATTTTTATTTCTTCTTATCCATACCTACTACTTACTAGCTGTTCAGGCAGTGGGTCTGTTCTTTGTTGTGACCTTTAAGTCCAGTATTAGTACAGAAGGAAATTAGAGTACAGTACTTGGAGAAAACCTGCCATGTTTGGTAGCATCACACTGGACAATGCTTTTCTCACATCTGTCCTGGGCCGGGGATTGAATCCAGGACACAAGAGTGAAAGATATTGTTGTTACTGCTGTACCATCAACATAAATTCATAAATGGCTCCAATGAATGTAAAATACAGACAATGCTAAAACTTTATTGGGATTATCATAATTTCTGTGAGATGAAACAAAATAAACTCCATAAGTCTGGCTTTGAGTAAATAATGCACGTACAGTACATATAACGCTATCTAATACACAATATTCCTTTATCAGACGAAACTAAATGTCATATTATGGGACTTGTTACATGATAATGTTCCCAATAATATATAATGCAAATAGTATCATAGCTTTTTCTATAATTTTGCTTAACAGTAGTGAAGAATGATACTGTACAGTACTTCAGAAAATTACCCATACTCCTTGAGCATTATTTCCATTTATCTTCCCATTTACATTTTACATTATTCTGAATGTTTTGTTTGCTTCAGAAATGTGTCAAGAGGTAAAGAATTTAATGGAGACATTGCTGGATGTCTTCCTTCAGCACACGGTATACCTGTGGTTGAAGAGAGTCCTTGGGATATTTTGCTTACCGGTATGCAGGGCATTGCTGATGACATATCAGTAAATGGTAAATCTTGAGGCATTCTACTTGTATGCGGCATATTCTTGGGCATCCCATCAATCATTGGCATGCTTCCAGGTGCAACCATGGCATTTACAAGAGGCGGCATATATTCCTGCCCACCTATTGCCCGAGCCATTGTGGTGTTTCACGTACTTGACATCTCGGTCCCGGGTGGATGAAAGGTGATCTGTGTTGTTGGAGAAATTGACAAGATGGTCCCAAACAGTATGTGTTGAACAACTGGGAACTTATGGAGAACCTGTAAGATATTTGAGTTCATGAATATTTATGAAAAATGCTGTGATTTTATATAATTTCCATTTCCCTTTTTTCATCCATGCAAGCTATGACACAGGGTGGCTGAAATCAAGAACACTACAAACTCTTCCTCCTTTATTCTTTCTTAGTTCCTTACCACAGCTAATTTTCTGATGCTTGCCATCCATATTAATATACAGTGACCCCTCGTTTAACGAACGCCTCGGTTAACGAAATTTCGGTTAACGAACTGCCTTCCATAAGGATCTTCAATTCGGTTAACGAACAAAAATTTGGTTAACGAATTTCTTACGAACTGACTTCAACATGTTTTCGCTTGCACTGACCGGGCAACCAGCTTTAGTATCAGTCCGCCAATACATTAATCGGTTCTAGGGCTTAAATTCCTTACTATTTTAGTAAATATCAAGAAGTTTATACTATTCAATAATTTTAAAAGTATACTATTCAATAATTTTAAAAGTATAATATTCAATTTTTTAGTCATTTTAACAATTATTGAACATAATTGAAGGTAAAGTGACTAGTTTAATGCGCGGCATCCAGCCTCTTAACACAGCAAACAGGCGTTAGTCTCTCTCTGTTTTCACTGGAGGTAACATCTTGCTTGAGACTCTTCAACTAAACGCTTTTTTTTCTGTGTTTCCAAGCAAATTATTGGTCATTTTGAAATATATTTTACATATTGACAATATATAATGCAGTGCAGTGTTGATTTAAAGAAAATAATCTTGAATTACACCAAGAGAGCTAAAATTTTATGGGTGAAATGGCGCCATGGGGTGACTTCTCTTCCACCCCAATGCCTTCTCTTCTTCCTTCTCCTCCACCCCCATTCTAATTCCCATCATCATCATCATCATCATCCAGGAGCCTTCTACATACACACCTCAAAGTAAGTGAACTTTTCCACCATTTTTGTTGAATTTAGGAAATTTTCGGTGAGCTGGAACCAATTACCCAAAAACCCATTGAAACAATGGTTTCGGTTAACGAACGACCTTCTGGAACGGATTGAGTTCGTTAACCGAGGGGTCACTGTACTGTACAAACTATCTAACTACCTTTCCAAAAACAAATTATTCCTAATTAACTAAGAAGGAACATGTGCAGAAAAAGATACACACACTCACACACACACTCCATTATTTCTGTTTCTCTTCAAATAGCCACCTTACTTACTTCAAACCAAGTCTTAATTTATGCAGATTCCTTTATTTTCTCACTTTACTATTACAGTATCAACTCCAACATCTTTCTACTTAATTCCCCTCAGTATTGTAAATTAGTTACAGGTTAGTATATAAATCATGCTCTTCATAAATTAATAACAATACTGTAACAACTTACAAATTGCTACTCATACAAAGCAAGTACTGTACACTAAACAACCAACACTTTAACACTTATCATATATATTCAACCCTTTCAATCATAGGAATGTTCTTCATACACTACTTTTAGGCCCGAGTCTTATGGATGAATGAAATATGTCTTGATTTTTGCCAACCCGTTTTAAATATCCTGGGGCAACCATGAGCCATATAATGATGCCATATATCACCAGGAATAAAAATTAACCCTCAGGTATTTCACAGTTACTCAGTTGCCCTACAAAAAGCTGGTCTTTTTGTTTCTCAAAGACACCAGTTCTTCTAAAGAATTCACTAGTGCTCGAAACCCTACAAAGTCGGAGACTTGAAAATAAAAAGAAACACTGTACGCACTGCAATAAAAGATCACAAAAAGTGACAGTTCAACTTCTATCATTCATATACAGTACCCTTGAGTTTTAATATTTCCTAAATCACGAAAGGATTAAAAGGTATTATGTAGCCTACAGTACAGTATATACCCCAAATAAAACATTTTGCGGTTACATAGATTGTGAAGAAATAAAAATAAAACTAAGTATAAAAAATATGTAACACTAGTATTCTGTCCAAAAATGTATCTATTCATTATATTTATTATACTCTCTCACTTTTGTGTGGGGTAGATGAAAAGAAACAGAAACATCAACAAAAAGAAGCAAGTAGCACATTTTGTACAAGATTCTCTCCAGTTAAACTCATATCCCCATCTTGCATAAGTAACACAAGTCAACCCTAAGCTTACACCAAGTTTGATATCAGTTCTCTCTTCATTTAAAGTACAACATATACAGTACAGTACCTCAGCTTTGTACATCTTGATCAAGCCTTGATTAATCTTGGTCCAGGACTGAACACCACTGATATTCCACAGTTGGTTGGAGTGTTCAGCAAATGGCCCTGTTTTCACCTGTAATATGAATTTTATGGTAAGCAAATAAATAACCCCTAATCTTATTGTTATGTAAGTTCATAATACTTTAAACACATACAGAAATAATGTAAATATCCATAGAAGTGGTATGTATTAACAAGAAGTGAAATTGTGATTATTCCAAAAGTTCATGTTATCGGTGTCAGATATGAATTTAATAGAACAGTGGTCCTCCATTCGAAAGCAAAGTAGCAACTCTAAAGGGTTAAAGGATGCAAAATTTTCAATACACAAAAGGAAAAATTGATTCACATTCCAGACACCGCTAAGACCATCCATTACGGCCTATCTTTACCCTCAATACATAGTAGAATCTCCCAAGTTGAAGGAGAGAAAGTAATTTATGAGATCAAGTTTGTTGAATGTTTAATGATGGAGTACCCCGTAACATCTCAAATACAGGACTTAAAATTTTTAAAGAATTTGCATCAAGTGTGAAATGAGACCTCATGTGCATAAGAGTGAAATATGATTTTATTGTATAAAATAAAATGTGAACACTTTTTATGGGACAGTTCGAGATGTTTGGCAGCAGGCAGGATTATCTCTTTAGAAGCTAAAGGAAGAACAAGATGAAGTTCACAATTAAAAAGATGCCATCTTTCTTGATACCATTCTAAGTTAGATAATGTATCTCAAACAGCAGAAAATTGAGTCAAAAGGAATGAGATGAAAATAAATACTGCAACCCAAGAATAATCCAAATGACACCAATTTTGAATCCCTCTGGCACTCAATGATATTTTAAAGTTAACTGCAAGGATACAAGGTCTTTCACATATATAATAAAAAAGACAAGAAAAAAAAGCCATAAATCCCACACACTGAATAAGGAATACTGTATACAGACAGCAGAAACAACCTGTGATCTTGTAGGGATAAACATGCACACCAGGTTTCAACCACACCCATTTCTATTTGTTGGGAGTATTACATTCACAACATACACAGGGTGGAGAGAGGAAGTATATATATATTAGTATTAAGGTTGATGCATGTTTAACTACCCTCCCCATATCTGATATGATACCCAAATTCATTGGGAACACACTTTGTTCACGAGAGGAATTTCTCGTTAACATCTCACATACATATTACACTAAGTATCACTTGGAAGTTTTGAGTAAACTTTAAACTGTCAACTAGAAGTTTCTAATGCCTGACAGTTCCTAAGAATGAAAATTTTCACAAACATTTATTGAAGTTTAATGACTATTCATTGCAAGTTCTAAAGTGATTTCCTAAATTACAGTACACTCAACTTTATGACTATTGTGACCTTAGTGACTTCAGCTTCTTTACACACTCTAAAACTACATCATACTTCTTAGCTTTGATGAATACATTGTTAAAATTGTGTGGTGGGTTACAGTGATGTGATAAAGTTAATGCAAGCAAACTTCAACTTCAATTGTCTCAGCTAGCCATTTTGGCACATACAGTATGTAACTCTTCCACTGCTTGCCTTACTTGTGTGCTGGCTTCTTAAGACATAACATGATAAATACAAAAGACAGTGACAAAACAGAATTTTTTTATATGAACAACCATGCAGTTTAGGATGAAACAGAATTGGCAATTAAGATACAAACTCATATACAGTACATGCACCATCTACATGCTACAAAACTTACCGATAATATAAATTTAATGCAAGCCAAAAACATAAATTCATCTGCATTATCATTAACAATCTTCTCATTACAAAACATCTCTGGAGAAATTTTTGGGTGCATCTGAAGCTGTGATGATCCCCAAATAAAAGGAATGAATTGATAATCATCAAGGCTCCACACTCCTTGACTGCCTGCTGGTTCCATCTTGTAGGTCATTTGAAGCTTATGTGATAAGGCAATATACCTAAAAGAAATTTTTTAAACAAATAAATATACATTGCATATGAACTGTATGTAAAAAAAGAAAAAACAGGACAGTAATATTTTTTGTATGTAACAAAACATTTCATCATTATCATTCATTATAACAAAACAAAAACCCTTAAATTGTTAAAATAATGCTGTATACCTATGAAATATTTGTGTGACAACTGCAACAGAATCTTCTTGTTTCAATGCTTCAATTTTAAAAAGGCAAGTTAGAAAAAGTATAAATGATAATTCATGCCCAGTTCCATAGTCAATACGAGTTGAATTGCCAACACTTTCTATGAGATAAACCACAACCTCAGGGACAGCCACGTGAAACTCCTCTGGTAGAGTCTCCCGCAATAAATCTTCACCATTCTAGAAGATGAGGAGAAAAAGGGAAGATTAGCTAACCACAGACCTTAATCATTACTGTCAATTCTTGATATGTGATCTTAAAAAATCTGCAAAACAATGTTAACATACCTGTAGGTTTAGTATTCTATCTACCCCTCAAATTTAGAGTGTTAGTTCTATGAGCTACAGAGACATAATAACTCAGTAAGTGCACACCCATTCTGTTGTCAAGTCACTTCTGGATAATAATGAAGTAAATGAGCCAAGCCTAAATGAATATACTGGTATTTATCAGACACCGTTTCTAAGCATCACTCTATATTTTAAAACATTTCTCTCATGCTTCCCTACTTTCCATGTTATCTACTTGGTCACATATTATACAGTACAAATATTGTTAGCATATGGTCATACAGGTTGACAACCCTTTATCCGAAAACCGAAAAGCTCTGAAAACCGAAAAAAAAATTGTGGAGCAATTTTGGGAGTATTAGCCCACCCGGGCACATGTCACTGACCCACATCGGGGCCTGGGGGGTGAAAATATAATAGTAATAATAAATATAATAATACAGGTACATGTAATAATAATAATGAGAATACAGTAATATTAATAATTATTTATAGTAAGTAAAAATTTTAATAAAAAATACACAAAAATAAAATAAGAATGATAACAATAATAACAATAATACTGTAATTATGAAATAATAATAATAATAATAAAGAAATACAAGATTGAAAAAAAGATCAAGTGAGAAACATGACCTAGACCTATGAATTATTATTATTATGAATATTATTATTATTATTATTATATTTTAGCCCCAGACCCCAATGTGAGTCAGTGACCTAATGTGCCCAGGTGGGCTGATCCCTGTATATATATATATATATAAAAAAAAAAAAAAAAATAACCATTCTGAAATCCGAAAAATTACAAAAACCGAAATGCATCTGGTCCCAAGGATTTCGGATAAGGGATTGTCAACCTGTATATGTACTATGCATTATTTATGACAACTTCCCTCTAAATTGATCTAAATACTGTACGTATAGTCAAATAGCAGCTCAATAATTTCTTTTTGGTTTACAGTATTTGGCCATTGACCACATAAAATCCTTAAATAAGTTAGCTAAAATCAAAACGATAAAAGAGGCTGGACATATCAGACAAAGGTACAAGCCTGCCTACTTCCAAATTGTCCCAGGATTTAAAGTTTGCAAAAAGAAAGAAGACCAGGAAAAACAATGATTCTTTTCTTCTGGGAAGACACAAATACTCTATATTAATTTTACATTATTATGTACGAAAGAGAATGGACAAACTCTCAAGTCAGATTGAAGGCAGTTTAACTATCCAATGAATGGATATTAAGGGGAACATGTGTAAAAGTTCTGGAAGAAAATAAGTTAACTGTTATTCAGTACAAAAAGATGTCCAGATGTACAACTGGCATTGAGTAAACTGTTTAGAGAATGAGGTGTTGCTGGGAAAGAGTAAGGTGAGATTTTGTTATTTGTAAACAGAACATCAGCTCAGTACAGTATACAATTCCCAATTCTGTGCAGTACTCTTTTGGCTAGGAGCTCTTTCGGCATTCTTAAAAGTTGTAGACCTAAGTCGATGTGTGGAGGTGTTTTAGCTTATTGTCTTGGCCTTTCCTATTTCCTTCAACATGTACAGTATTTTGCCCCTCTATTTGAGGTTTGTGTAGCTCTTGACTCACCCAAAACCAAGAAAGGATAAGACAACACAGCTGTACCCCATACAGTGGTCCCTCAGTAGTCTGCCAATTCAGTACAGTGGTCCCTCGGTTAACGAACACAATCCGTTCCAGCAGGTTGTTCGTTAACCGAAACCATTGTTTCAATGGGTTTTTGGGTAATTGGTTCCAGCTCACCGAAAATTGCCTAAATTCAACAAAAAAGGTAGAAAAGTACACTTACTTTGAGGTGTGTAAGTAGAAGGCTCCTGGATGATGATGATGGGAATTAGAATGGGGGTGGAGGAGAAGGAAGAAGAGAAGGCATTGGGGTGGAAGAGTCACCCCATGGCACCATTTCACCCATAAAATTTTAGTTCTCTTGGTGTATTTCAAGATTATTTTCTTTAAATCAACACTGCACTGCATTATATATTGTCAATTTGTAAAATATATTTCAAAATGACCAATAATTTGCTTGGAAACACAGAAAAAAAAGCGTTTAGTTGAAGAGAGTCTCAAGCAAGATGTTACCTCCAGTGAAAACAGAGAGAGACTAACGCCTGTTTGCTGTGTTAAGAGGCTGGATGCCGCGCATTAAACTAGTCACTTTACCTTCAATTATGTTCAATAATTGTTAAAATGACAAAAAAATTGAATATTAAACTTTTAAAATTATTGAATAGTATAAACTTCTTGATATTTACTAAAATAGTAAGGAATTTAAGCCCTAGAACCGATTAATGTATTGGCGGAATAATACTAAACCTGGTTGACCGGCCAGTGCAAGCGAAAACACGTTGAGGTCGGTTTGTAAGAAATTCGTTAACCGAATTTTTGTTCGTTAACCAAATTTAAGAATCTTATGGGAGGCAGTTTGTTAACCGAAATTTCGTTAACCGAGGCGTTCGTTAACTGAGGGACCACTGTAATCTGTTCTATGTTTACATTCGTTTCCAGTGGAGTAAATATCAAGAAAGTTGTGCTCTTTAATATTTTTGCATTTTTCATATTAAAATTATTAGTCATTTTAAAATTTACTTAACATATTGATAATATATGCAGTTCAGGGAACTAGTTTTTTGAGTGCCCATCAGCCGCTTGACTCACCCACCAGGCGTCAGTTTGGCTTTGTTTACAGTGGAGTGAACATAGATTTTGTTGGGGTCTTGAATATTTTTGCATTTTTACTTTAAATTATTGGTCATTCTGAAATTTAGTTAACATACCGGTATTGATAATATATAGCGCAGTGCAGTGTTGATTTAAATACAATAATTTTGAATTACATCTAGTGAACTTAAAATTTTATTGGTGAAATTACTGCATCAAGCATGGGTCCCCTGAAAGGTGATTTCTCCTCCACCCCCACTTCTAATTCCCATCATCATCATCATCAACCAGGAACCTTCTACATACAAACCTCAAAGTACAGGTAAGTGTATGCTATTGCATTTTTTTTACATTGTATGTACTTTTCTGTGAGCTGGAACCAATTACCCAATATCCCATTGAAACAATGGATTCGGTTAACGAAATTTTCGGTTAACGAACGACTCTGTGGAACGAATTGTGTTCGTTAACCGAGGGACCAATGTGTGTGTGTGTGTGTGTATGTGTGTGTGTGTGTGTATGTATATATATATATATATATATATATATATATATATATATATATATATATATATATATATATATATATATATATATATATATATATATATATATATATATATATATATATATATATATATATATATATATATATATATATATATATATATATATATAAACATAAAACATGTCAAGGAAAAGTGATAGGTTGACTAATGATGCACAACCAAATACCTCTTTGAGTTTAGAATAGAATTCCCGAAATGATTTATTGCCATATCGCTGCGGCTGGTCGATGGGTGGTATCTCATCTATCCATTGGCTGATTGTGTCTAGCATCTTGAGCAACGCTGCTGTGACCGGACTTACAGGACACTCGGCACTTAACTTTTTGCCTTTCACAGCTGTATTCATTGCTGTCAGGAATCCTAGTATGTCCTGATGTGAAGAATAAATACTGTATAAGCATTAGACCAGGTAGAGTAAAAAATTTAATAAAATAAATTGTCCAAAATACTGTCACCATTAGTGACACAAGTGGTAAAGTTGAGTTACAAGAACTACCTGGCCCAAAAACAAAAGTTGTTTTATTGTAACTTAGTTATTGAGTATTAAAATTGACCTTCATAACTTAGGTCTATACACATGCAAACAAATTACAGTAGGTATATATAAACTTAGAAATTTATTTGACGTAGCCAGTGAAAGAACCGCTTATTATTTCAACCAATGAATAATATAAATTTATAAAAAGATTTATTCTGAATTTTTTTTTAATCAAATAGTAATTTTTGAAGCAACTTCTCTGACTACAAAATACAGTTACCTGATAAGCATTTGATTGCTCCCATTTCTTCACATCTGGAGGACTAAGCACAGCACGCCGTGGTACCTCAAACTTGTGATTTTCTGTGTAAATTAGAATAAATACATAAAAAAATATACAGGTACGTACAAGAAAATTTTCCTTCCAGTACAGGTATCTGTCGCTTTAAGAATGGGTAAGGTTCCTTGAAAACAATTTGTTAGGTGAATTGTTATACAGAGGGTGCCCGGGTTATGAACGGGTTCCGTTCCTGTTCTTAAGTCAGATTTGTACGTAAATCAAACACATGCTATGTGCATACCGTACTTACAGAACTATGTTTAAAATCCCACTATATCATAGCCTCAGTCCTTATATACTGTACATCTAACATCACTTAATTTAAGAGAAAAGAAGTCATCAGGTAAATAAAATACTATAAATTTCAAGTCATGGACTACCTGTATATCGAATAACATATGGGAACAATAGGATTAGGTTCCCCCAATGAAAAGAAAATTCCAATGTCATAAAAAAAGTTTCTCAAAAACCTACCTTACTAATGTAAATTATTGTAGTAATTTAGAGCCTAACACATTAAAAAATATATATATATAAATTTGATATGCAGTACAGTGTTCATTACCTTTAAGGACCATATTTGTATAAGCGAGAATAGCTTTAGTATTGTAAGAAAGAGGTGTAAAAGTAGAAAATTCGTACAGTACATATATGAGAATTTTCATATCACAAACATTCATAATGCGAGAGATACTTGCATGAAACTTCATTTACAGATCAAATTCTAATGTGCTTCTGCTGAACATTTGGCAGTGAATGTTTATACATAATTCAAGAATTAAGAATCAATGTGGGGGGTGGAATAGCACTTTTTGTACTCAGGTTTTCCTTAATATTTCACCATAAATAAAGACGCTGCTACCACCCACCTACTTCACAATGACATCATGTCTGCATGTGACTGTTGACATATATATGCTGTGCATATACAGTATATGTGGTAGAAGGCAGTGCCCAAACAGGGAGGTACTACTGCCTGGGAAGATATTGGAAGCATAATGTGTTGTCTAATGGTAGACCCGGCTGCCTTATGGCATCACAAAGATTATGACCATGTCCCAGGTTGCTAATCTGTCTTTCTGCCTCATTTACACACAATTGCAGGGTCTCGATTGTCTCTTACTATTGACAACACAACATATATAACCATACTCACTCTTGATCTGTTCTAGTCTTTCTACTCCCATGTTATCAATTGACAATAATATTAAAACGGGGCCTTGTCGGATGGGTCCCACTGATTGGGAAGGTTGTGGACCCCAGGGCCGACCTGATCATCATCAAACTACTGGGGCCTCAACTGACGTCACCGCTGTTGCCGGAGGATCAGTTTTTTTCACACTTCATTTTTCCAACATTCACGGCCTGAGATCCAATTTTCCTTCTGTGGAGCACCATCTATTAACCTCTTCCCCCGACCTCTTACTACTATCTGAACTTTAACTGATCAAAACAGCTTCACCCAAACATTTTCAAGTCTCCAATTACAACCTTTATACCTCTTTCCGTTCTAAGGGAGGTGTATGTGCCTATTGCAACACACGTACACCTACAGCTCGACTCACGGATATTGAATCTTAACTTTATGATGTCATCTGGCTCAAAATATCTCTACCAACCATGACTACTTTTCTTTGTTTCCTATACTGTTCTCCCAACTCTACCAACTATTTGGAACTCTTTGACTATCTCACTTCTTGCCATGAGTCGTTGCTATCCACACACACCCCAATACTGAGATCCTCTACTTATGGGATTTCAATGTACATCACAGAGAGTGGCTTGGCTCTGCAAGGGATGACCCAGGTAGAGCTGAGGCACTCTCTTTTTCCTTACTTAATGATCTGGAACAAATAATTAAACACCCTACACGTGTTCCTGATCGACACGATCAACTTACTAACATTCTTGATCTTTGTTTTACCTCTAACCCCTCACACTATTCATACTCAATTTCTGCCCCCTTAGGGTCTTCCGATCACAATCTTATTTCTATTAAATCAAACTGGGCACGACCACCTCCCCCACCCCCCTCTAAATGCCAACTATGGCACTATTGGAGGGCAAACTGGCAATCCTTGTGAAAATTCTTCTCCGACTTTCCTTGCGATTAATGTTGCCTTTCCACTCGGGACGCTTCGGTATGTCTTGACAGCATTGCTGGGGTTATACAGGGTGGTATGAGTGCATTTATCCCAACTTCTGCCCAAACTTTCACTTTACAATCATGGTTTGATTGCTCCTGTTCTTTTGCATGTAGGGAGAGAGATAGAGATAGGGCTTATCAAGTTATGAAACTATCTCCTACTTCCCACTCCTCTTTCATTACTTCTAGGAATCGTTGTAAGGCTATTCTTCGTAGGGCCAAGCGTATTGTACTGTATTTCCATCCTAGGATAAGTACCGGTAATTTAGGTAGGGTTTGTTAGTTCATCTGATTTATGATAAAGCATATGTAATACACTACAGTGCAATGTAATGATAATACTGTAATAATGATAATAGTAATAATGATAATAGCAATAATGATAATAGTAATAATAATAACTGCTGCAACTGTCTACTGTATGTGCATGGAAAAATGATGTTGTCACTGCACTTGTGTGTATTGCCAAGCTAATACAGTAATAGCTATTACAGTACTGTATTACGAAAATTGCAAATATTATTCTTAATAGAGTACATAGTTGTCCTTTTTTGGATACTGTATTAATATTTTTCTCATCACAGGGGGGAATAATTTATCATCACTGTGGTCAGCTTAAGTGTCATGTTGAACAAGGAAGGGTCTCCCTGATGCTGGTTGGTGGTCACCCAGAGGCCACTGGACTGCTCTTGTTACAGCATCTGGATTGTAAGCTTGCCAGTACTGTCTGTGTGTTTGCAGTGGTGAGTAGGGGTTGAGGATATCCTCTTCTGGTTGCTACCAAACTCTTAATATCCATTATGACAAACATTACAATGAATAAATGTAAGTCTGCTGCATAAAAAACACCCACTTACTACATGAATGAATGTCATAAGAAACCGAGTGTAATCAATAGGAAGGAACCCAATACACTATACAGTAGCTGGGTTCAGAGCTGGTAGTCTGAACATAGGTACAATACATGGAGGAGTAGGTGAAATTGTGCAGACATTGAACCAGAGAATACTGGAGGCAGAAAGGTGGCTCAGTAAGAATGATAGATACAAGATATTCTGGAAGGTGTGTGAGTCTGGAACAAGTGGTGTAGGGACCTTGATCACCGAGAAATGGGTGGATATAGTGTAGCGCTAGTGAATGCATGAATTATGGTTCTGAAGCTTGCTAGTAGGAACGGATATTACACCAGTTAAATACAAAATTACCATCTACAGCATTACCCATTAAATTCAATGTCATAAGTTAATAAAGAAGTATGTGTAACTAAACTTAAACTTGAGGCATGTTAGAAAAAGGTATATTACCCTTGTTCTAACTCTGTAGGGCTGGTTTCACACTGAACAGAGGAGACATGACAAAACTGTTTGCAATACTACCTGTCACATCTGATGCACAAAAATACAATGGGTTATATAAGAGCTCCACATTGACCGAACAAGTCAGGTAAAAAACAGGAGCATTTATGACTGGTACTGTCTGTTTGCCTTTTGTCTGGTACAGTAACAACTCATAACCCGGACGATCAACAATGGCAAATGTGATGCTAAATGATTGATATCTCCCGTGGAAAAGAGTAGGGTGATTTGTGATTATACACCCAGCATTGACCCAAGACCAAGTGGTTTGCCTTGCAATGATTCCCCCGCAGGAACCTTATCTCAAGTTATCTGCCGCTATAAACTATAACTACCTGCATGGCTGGCGATGTGGGACGTGTACCTAATGTCTTGAATGATGTGTTGTACACTTTCCACCAATTATATACAGTACAGTAAATTTAAACTTTTGACCCTGTAAGATGTCATGAAATTCTGTTATCTTCAACATTGTTCACTGGATTAAGGACATATTTTTTCAAATAAGAAATTCACATTCACTGAAATTTACTTTCCTTTTAAATTGCAGATACAAACACGCCTTCAAATGCTTGAGTTACTTTTTATTTTACCCTAATTAAAAAAAAAAAAATTATGGACTCTGGTAATCACTCACAATCACATTTAAATTACGTAGTGGATATTTTGCCGTGACCGACTAAGTTCCTACTAGCGCTATTTTACGGTGAGTGCGCTCTGATTGGCAAAGTACTTTCTGTTTAATATGACGGGGGGTCGCTCCTCCCCCGACTAGGAAGTTTGATAGGTTTTTTTGGTTGGTTACGTCAGGTTTTATTAGGTTCTAATAAATGTCACCTTTTATAATGACAAATTTCCATGCACAACAGAAATATGCTTAGGTATGTTTACAGCTACACAACGACCAACTCACAGCGAAATAAAAGCTAAATGTCGCCAGAGTGACAGTCATAGTTCTTGTGTCGTTTGCCGGTAGGGGACAATTAGCCAATCAAAGCACATTCCTGGTAAAATAGCCTTAGGAGGAACTTACTGGTCACAGCAAAATATCCACTGCCTTTAAATCACAATGAGAAAGCGGTTTACTCACCTCAAAGTCACTAGAAGACTTTCTTCGTGTGTAATGCTTCTTCTAGTTTGTCACATTTTATTATTCTATCCACAACAAGTAGCAACAAACAATCAAAAGATTTAGATTTCATCCTAATATAATTTTTTAATTTCTCATCTTGGCAGAGCTCTAAAATAATACCTAATATTAAATCTTGTGATGTTCTTTTGCTCGTGAGGATGAATCCAATACAGTATCTCATCTTCCACTCCAAATAACACCATATTGCTACTGCACCTTCGTCGCTGGATATATTGTCGACAACTGACTGCATAAGTCCTGTCTTGCCTTATTTGTCTGTTCAATGTGGCACCAAACGCCAGCCAGTGTGCTCAGTGTGAAACCAGCTCAAAGGTTCATATCTCAAACCTCAAGTGACTATATATGCTAAGTCTGTCGAGTTGTTACACTTTTAATTCAACAACAGATGATGCCCATATTAATGTCTAACTCAACTCACAAGATGTCATAAAACAACTTACTACAATCAATGACCATTTTTAAGCTACCACAAGACCACTGACAACTGCTGCTGTTGTGACCCAAGTCGGGACGCGCGGTGATAACCTACAGGATTTCCCAACTTAGAATTCATGGCTTCTTTATATATAACACAGCCAAAATGAATCAAACCACCATATAGCAATATAATATTAACAAAATTATGTATGAAAGACTAATAGTAACCGTTGAGCCTTTATTAAGCATTAAAACCGACCAATAAATGCTTTTTGTACCTTTGAGCTAAACTGTGGATAGCTCCGTCACTCATTATAATATCAATCTTAATTATATTTACTCAATAAGCAAGATTAAAACTGCTAGTTCCTAATACAATACCTTGATAAGTAGTTTACTCATCTCAGTTCACAGCTGGACTTTAACTGTACCCTAATAAATAACTCGATTGAAAAAAGAAAGTTTTATTTTAACCTATGCAGAAAAAGGCTTCATGGTATATATGAGTAAATCACTGTAGGTGCGCGTGATCCAGGTACAGTATATGCTGATAACCACAAGGAAGAAGAAAACAAAGTTCGCCACTGAAGGGCGATCGGTCACGTCTCTGTCACGCACTGTTAGCAAGTACTGGGCATGCACCGGCTCCTGAATGCACCTGAACCCGCTCCAGTGTTGGTCAAGTCTGGTCTTGAAAGAGCTCACACTCGGTGCCGTCACAACACTCTCTGGTAGATTGTTCCAAGAGTTTACAACCCTCACTCCGAAAAAGTTTGCCCTCACAGTTTTCTGGACTTGCGCTTCTTCAATCATGAACTGTGACCCCTTGTGGGGCGAGCGTCCGCCAGCTCCAAGTAAGGACACTCAACTGAGTAGTGCCCCCTGAGGTGCTTATACACCTTAACTAGGTCCCCCCTTGCCCGTCTGTAGTATAAGCTAGGCAAGTTCAGGCGCTCCAATCTCTGAGGGCAGCTGAGGTGCCGAAGTGCAGGCACCAATTTGGTGGCCCTCCTTTGTACATTTTCAACCAACTGACAGTCCCTAGCATATCTCAGGGACCAGACAGGGTGACAGTACTCCATTTGAGGAAGCACTTCACTCTTGAAGATCGTTACGAGGGACGTTACGTCTAGATATCTGAACAACCTTCTTATAAGACCCAATAATTTATTTGCCTGATTTACCTTCTTCTCGCAATGGCCCGAGAACTTCAGCTCATTGTCAACATACTGTACACACCTAGGTCCTTCTCACATTCAGTCTCAAATAGTGCAGTTTCTTCATGCCGTTGGGACATATGATACGCCTCCTTACCGTTGGTACGCCCCAGGTGCATCCTCTTACATTTCGTGACATTGAATCTCAGCAGCCATTTCTTCGACCATTCTTGGAGCTCACTGTAGGGTAATTCAGCCTCATTTCCTGGTCTGTATGGCGGTAGGGTATTTTTGCAAAATCAGAGCAAAATGTAGGGTAATTACGAATTCTTCATGAGTAATATTTACTGTGCAGCAAAAGATAAATGATATAGTATACGGAAAGGGACATGCCCAAAAAGGGTAATCCATTTTATTTATTTTTATTCTCTATTACCCTCTACTCTGTCAAAAGAAGAACTTTGCCTCAACGATAAGTAATTATAGTCACCCGTCATTACAGAAAATGCTCCTCGTGAATCTGGCAGCTGACAGCGCATAAGATACTGGCGCTGCCTGTGCAAACATATTAACTTAAACAGGAGTCAAACAGGACTAGGTGTGAGCACGCTGCCATCTTCTTTGGTAATTGGACTGTATTAACAGTACTACTGTATTATGCCTGTGTAACCTCGTTATTTAGGACTGTGTTAATCGGACAACATAGTGACAGCATGACTGATTCCCCTTCTACACCCAAAAGAAAAGACGTTACCGTGGGGAACTAGATAAAGAAGAAAAGGAAACTCCAAGGAAACAAAAGTTTAGAGATGGATTGCTACAGGTAAGAATCGCAAACTATTTTAAACATATTTAAGTGAAATATTTTGCTTGTTCAATACTATATTTTTCTTACAGTCCATTATGCTTCACCAGTCTTCTGGTATCAATAACTGTTTTGAAGGTAAGAAAGTGGATATATTATCATAGAAGGAAATGTAACGTAGGCTTATGTATGCCGAATTCAAACCATGGCTGGCAGCTGTTACAAATGATCCCTTTCAAGCGAGTTGCAGAGCTTGTGATGTCAAATTCACTGCTGGCCATAGAGAAATAATGAGGCATAGTGAAAGCGCAGTGCACAAGAAAAGAATGTTGAGTTTTAGAAAGCAGCAGTGTTGTGGGCGCCTTGGCGTGACTGAATAAAAACTGTTAAATGCCACTAACGGGTCATGTGACACCTGATAACTCTCAGGATCATGTTATGTCTATCGGTAACATTAGGCTACATTTACGCAAAATATTAGGCCGATATAGTTTTTAATGTATGGGAATTATTTCAGTGTTCTCGAATAAAAACATCACCCTGTATCATTACTCAGGGGTAACATAAAACTACGTAACCTAACATACAGTACATAGCTTAGGTTGGAAATGACAACTCCACATTGTTATAATGAATGGTTTCGTATTACTAAAACATCTCGGGATTGACTCTCAACAACTCCTGTACAGAGAATTTGAGTCAGCCTGTTACATACTGTACATTACAACTACTTGTACTTCTTTTCAACTTTGTTTTCTGAAATAAATGTTTATATTTTTACAAATTCTTTCAGTGGGATTAAAAAAAAATGCAAATCCATGTCGTTGAAACTTTACTGAGAATTTACAATAAATCAAGTCTGTAAAACTGAGACATGTCTTCCTTCTTGCCAGGATTTATCCATCAGTTGTCTTGATCTATCTTTGGCAAGGTGAGTACAAACAGCACAAGCATCAACAGGTCAACAACAAACAAGATTCGAAAATTTATGCATGAATAACATTCGCACCAGCTTCACAAAAATTGTTTCATAAAGTGACAGCTTGAACCACACAAAAGTCACCTTTACTACATTGTTACAAAAAATATCTTTAGTATTATTAACCCAATTAATTTAAGTACAGGTTATGCTAGTGCAAGTGAAAGTTTGTATGGGAGTGAATATAGCACAGTACATACGTTTGAAGGTGGGAATGTGCACTATGAATAATTTTTATGATGACTGCTGTGCTTGGATGGTAGGTAATACAGTATGGTGAAATATCCCTTTATCGAAGTTAATCTTTCCTCTAAATGTCATTCTTTACAATGCAATTGTATTATACTGTAATAAATTATTTTTGATTAAAAATATGACAACAGTAAAAATATCATGCACTTGATGAATTTCAAGTCAATACAGTACATTTAAAATCTGTCTTGCAGAAAAGCAAATTGGTGTTCTTTATCTACAAAGTGCTAGGTACAGTACTGTACTGTACTAAGGATTAGCATGCATGAAATGGTTAAAAGAAAACAGTAGTTTCAGTAACATTAATGAACAAGTTACTTGTCATGTGTGTAATTACTTTTGGAATTATCATCTTTTATAGTTTTCTTTTAACAATACAGTACTATGAACACTGGTTTTACCACTAATTCACTTTACAAAACTTGCTGGTTATTAAGCAATATAAATACCATACTCAATAAACCAGTGAAGTATTGGCATGTAAAATATTCTTGTGCAAAATATATACAGTAGACAATAATCCATAAAATAATTACAAAATATAAATAATTTTTGAGAGAAAAAGTTATCTTTACGTGGTGAAAGTTGTTACAGAGACATACAGTACCCATACACTAAGAAGCATTAGTTGACTCTTACAAAAATTTATCTATTTCTTGTTTGTAACTTTTTCCAGTGCAAGAGTTCTTGTTACATTGGGGAATGTATCTGTATTTTTTGGTACAGTATTGTCTTCCTTATCAATCAAATTTGTTTTTCAAGAGGAACTGTACATGAAAAAGCACAATTAATATGAAATGTCCATACTTAAGACATAAGACACAACCATAATTCTTTGGTTTGTATAGAACAGTAAAGTATACAGTACATTGTTTTAAATACTATATTTCCCATTGGTACAATACATGCCATGCTGTGTAATGACTGATTTAATGAAAATTAAAAGTGGGCATATTTATGACAACATCGGATAGTCCAGTGAAGTGCCACATTAAAAATTGGTCCCAGCCCTTTTAAATTTTTTTTAAATAGCTTCATACATGGTCTGAAAAAGTGATTTATATAAGGAATCTATATTATAAAACATGTTATCTCCAAGCCAGCATCTAAAAGGCTTAAGGCTTAATGTTACAATGGCAAATTTCAATTCCAAAACAGAAATCAGAATCATACAATGGATCTTTGAGAACTAAAAGATGTGGTTGTATTTCCCATCACTTGTAGCTTCCTAAATAGTGCACATTTAAGCAGATGAAGAAAAGAAATAGATTTGAGATGGAAAAATTACATGAAGGTAAATTTGGTGGAATGTTGAATACATACTGTGGTTCAATTCCTTCTAGTTGATGGTTTTTAAGATTAATTGTACCTTTATGGTACAAAGTTTTTGATGCAGATATTGTACATAAAAAACCTTTATCATAATATATAAATATATATAAAAATAACTTGTAAACATCAGAAGTGTACATTTATGTAAAGAATTCATTAAAAGAAGCACTACAGTACTAACTACTTACTGTATTTATCTAAAAAATATTCAACCATTTCATGGATATGAGAGAAAATCAACATTAGCACTTATAAATAGAGATTCTAGATAACCACTGAAGTTTGTCACCTTATAAAAGTACTGTACAGTACAGTACCCTTTATTGAAGTAGTCGATGAAAAAGGCATCTGGCATTTGATTACTGAAAATCTGAACAATAAAATGCCTTTACATTTAGGACGTATACAGCATGTCACTGGTTATTCAAGTTCCATTTTCAATATAAAAGGAGGTTTGCT